TTTATATCAGCAAAATAATCTAAGATGTGACGTGTTGGGAAAAGGCCCTTCATATCAGTTTCGAGGCCAAGAAATCAGAGTGGATACGCGTTGGAAAATACACTTTACACCATGGGGTCTGACGCTTACATTGTGAAATGTTTTTTCATGACCCAATTTCCAATCTTAAAAGCCACTCATATAGCGATAAACGACGTGGCTTCTACATCAGGCTTGGTCACACCAGAGATGCCCTCTGCTGGACATGATTTGTTTGTGGCCAAAGCCTGGCACCGTCGAGTTGGTAAGTATTCTTAACAGAGAAATTGAGTTTTCAGGTCTATGCGGGAATGTTTTTGTTTGTTTATTTGTTTGAGTTTCTCCCTTATGATGAGACTTTATAGAATGAACGTTAGGTAGGGCACTGATAAGGGGTTGACAAGTATGAGTATGCATTGGCGAATTCTGTTAGAACCTGGCATATATTATTTTCATGTGTGTGTATATACACACACAGTACTAAATATAAAAGTCAGTGCATGAAAATGCCTGTTTAGCACAGCACTGTAAAAATGCATTTTTTTTTTAAATTGACGTGCGGTGACGTCACCCGCGAGCCGTTGGTGATCACGAGACCGGGCGTCACGTGACGCGTCGGGGGGAGGAAGGGGGGGGGATTTTAAACAACATCACGTGGCTCATCACGAGTGGTGGCGGGTGCCGGGTGGGGGGGGGTAAACATTCACGTGACCTGCCGGTGTCACGTGACCTCCACCACAGCCGGGGGGGGGGGAACTCCTCTACTTACGAACGAGTTCGGTTCCAGAGGAGCGGACAACGCAACCTTTGGAGTTTTATCCCACCGGCATTCACTTGCAAGGGCCTACTAAGTCGTTCTGTGCACTACGAACCCCCCCCCCACACACACAGCCAACCTCTAAAACAGCACTTGCTCCAGCTAAAACAGCACTTGCCCCAACTAAAACAGCACTTGCCCCAACTAAGACAGCACTTGCCCCAACTAAAACAGCACTTGCCCCAACTAAAACAGCACTTGCCCCAACTAAAACAACACTTGCCCCAACTAAAACAGCACTTGCCCCAACTAAGACAGCACTTGCCCCAACTAAAACAGCACTTGCCCCAACTAAAACCGCACTTGCCCCAACTAAAACAGCACTTGCCCCAACTAAAACAGCACTTGCCCCAACTAAAACAGCACTTGCCCCAACTAAGACAGCACTTGCCACAACTAAAACAGCACTTGCCCCAACTAAAACAGCACTTGCCCCAACTAAAACAGCACTTGCCCAAACTAAAACAGTACTTGCCCCAACTAAAACAGCACTTGCCCCAACTAAAACAGCACTTGCCCCAACTAAAACAGTACTTGCCCCAACTAAAACAGCACTTGCCCCAACTAAAACAGCACTTGCCCCAACTAAAACAGTACTTGCCCCAACTAAAACAGCACTTGCCCCAGCTAAGACAGCACTTGCCCCAACTAAAACAGCACTTGCCCCAACTAAAACAGCACTTGCCACAACTAAAACAGTACTTGCCCCAACTAAAACAGCACTTGCCCCAACTAAAACAGCACTTGCCCAAACTAAAACAGTACTTGCCCCAACTAAAACAACACTTGCCACAACTAAAACAGCACTTGCCACAACTAAGACATCACTTGCCCCAACTAAAACAGCACTTGCCCCAACTAAAACAGCACTTGCCCCAACTAAAACAGCACTTGCCCCAACTAAAACAGCACTTGCCCCAACTAAAACAACACTTGCCCCAACTAAAACAGCACTTGCCCCAACTAAAACAACACTTGCCCCAACTAAAACAGCACTTGCCCCAACTAAAACAGCACTTGCCACAACTAAAACAGCACTTGCCCCAACTAAAACAGCACTTGCCCCAACTAAAACAGCACTTGCCCCAACTAAAACAGCACTTGCCCCAACTAAAACAGCACTTGCTACAACTAAAACAGCACTTGCCCCAACTAAAACAGCACTTGCCCCAACTAAAACAACACTTGCCCCAACTAAAACAGCACTTGCCCCAACTAAAACAGCACTTGCCCCAACTAAAACAGCACTTGCTACAACTAAAACAGCACTTGCCCCAACTAAAACAGCACTTGCCACAACTAAAACAGCACTTGCCACAACTAAAACAGCACTTGCCCCAACTAAAACAGCACTTGCCCCAACTAAAACAGCACTTGCCCCAACTAAAACAGCACTTGCCCCAACTAAAACAGCACTTGCCACAACTAAAACAGCACTTGCCCCAACTAAACAGCACTTGCCCCAACTAAAACAGCACTTGCCCCAGCTAAGACAGCACTTGCCCCAACTAAAACCGCACATACCCCAACGAAAACAGCACTTGCCACAACTAAAACAGCACTTGCCCCAACTAAAACCGCACTTGCCACAACTAAAACAGCACTTGCCCCAACTAAAACAGCACTTGCCCCAACTAAAACAACACTTGCCCCAACTAAAACAGCACTTGCCCCAACTAAAACAGCACTTGCCCCAACTAAAACAGCACTTGCCCCAACTAAGACAGCACTTGCCACAACTAAAACAGCACTTGCCCCAACTAAAACAGCACTTGCCCCAACTAAAACAGCACTTGCCCAAACTAAAACAGTACTTGCCCCAACTAAAACAGCACTTGCCCCAACTAAAACAGCACTTGCCCCAACTAAAACAGTACTTGCCCCAACTAAAACAGCACTTGCCCCAACTAAAACAGCACTTGCCCCAACTAAAACAGTACTTGCCCCAACTAAAACAGCACTTGCCCCAGCTAAGACAGCACTTGCCCCAACTAAAACAGCACTTGCCCCAACTAAAACAGCACTTGCCACAACTAAAACAGTACTTGCCCCAACTAAAACAGCACTTGCCCCAACTAAAACAGCACTTGCCCAAACTAAAACAGTACTTTCCCCAACTAAAACAACACTTGCCACAACTAAAACAGCACTTGCCACAACTAAGACATCACTTGCCCCAACTAAAACAGCACTTGCCCCAACTAAAACAGCACTTGCCCCAACTAAAACAGCACTTGCCCCAACTAAAACAGCACTTGCCCCAACTAAAACAACACTTGCCCCAACTAAAACAGCACTTGCCCCAACTAAAACAACACTTGCCCCAACTAAAACAGCACTTGCCCCAACTAAAACAGCACTTGCCACAACTAAAACAGCACTTGCCCCAACTAAAACAGCACTTGCCCCAACTAAAACAGCACTTGCCCCAACTAAAACAGCACTTGCCCCAACTAAAACAGCACTTGCTACAACTAAAACAGCACTTGCCCCAACTAAAACAGCACTTGCCCCAACTAAACAACACTTGCCCCAACTAAAACAGCACTTGCCCCAACTAAAACAGCACTTGCCCCAACTAAAACAGCACTTGCTACAACTAAAACAGCACTTGCCCCAACTAAAACAGCACTTGCCCCAACTAAAACAGCACTTGCCCCAACTAAAACAGCACTTGCCCCAATTAAAACAGCACTTGCCCCAACTAAAACAGCACTTGCCCCAACTAAAACAGCACTTGCCACAGCTAAAACAGCACTTGCCCCAACTAAAACAGCACTTGCCCCAACTAAAACAGCACTTGCCCCAACTAAAACAGCACTTGCCCCAACTAAAACAGCACTTGCCCCAACTAAAACAGCACTTGCCACAACTAAAACAGCACTTGCCCCAACTAAAACAGCACTTACCCCAACTAAAACAGCACTTGCCCCAACTAAAACAGCACTTGCCCCAACTAAAACAGCACTTGCCCCAACTAAAACAGCACTTGCCCCAACTAAAACAGCACTTGCCCCAACTAAAACAGCACTTGCCACAACTAAAACAGCACTTGCCACAACTAAAACAGCACTTGCCCCAACTAAAACAGCACTTGCCCCAACTAAAACAGCACTTGCCCCAACTAAAACAGCACTTGCCCCAACTAAAACAGCACTTGCCACAACTAAAACAGCACTTGCCCCAACTAAACAGCACTTGCCCCAACTAAAACAGCACTTGCCCCAGCTAAGACAGCACTTGCCCCAACTAAAACCGCACATACCCCAACTAAAACAGCACTTGCCACAACTAAAACAGCACTTGCCCCAACTAAAACCGCACTTGCCACAACTAAAACAGCACTTGCCCCAACTAAAACAGCACTTGCCCCAACTAAAACAACACTTGCCCCAACTAAAACAGCACTTGCCCCAACTAAAACAACACTTGCCCCAACTAAAACAGCACTTGCCCCAACTAAAACAGCACTTGCCCCAACTAAAACAGCACTTGCCCCAACTAAAACAGCACTTGCCCCAACTAAAACAGCACTTGCCCCAATTAAACCAGCACTTGCCCCAACTAAAACAGCACTTGCCCCAACTAAAACAGCACTTGCCACAGCTAAAACAGCACTTGCCCCAACTAAAACAGCACTTGCCCCAACTAAAACAGCACTTGCCCCAACTAAAACAGCACTTGCCCCAACTAAAACAGCACTTGCCCCAACTAAAACAGCACTTGCCACAACTAAAACAGCACTTGCCCCAACTAAAACAGCACTTGCCCCAACTAAAACAGCACTTGCCCCAACTAAAACAGCACTTGCTCCAACTAAAACAGCACTTGCCCCAACTAAAACAGCACTTGCCCCAACTAAAACAGCACTTGCCCCAACTAAAACAGCACTTGCCACAACTAAAACAGCACTTGCCCCAACTAAAACAGCACTTGCCCCAGCTAAAACAGCACTTGCCCCAACTAAAACAGCACTTGCCCCAACTAAAACAGCACTTGCCCCGACTAAAACAACACTTGCCCCAACAGTCTGTGAAGGCTATACACAGGGGGGGGTGGGTGGGTGGAAGTCTTTGTCTTTACTTTACAAGTGCACGTGACGCACCACGTGACACCCTCGCGAGCTCGCGGTATAAAAGGGGGGGGCGCGGCGACCCCTCCGCTTGCACTCAACAGGAAGCCATGGCCGCCGCCGCTGCTGCTGCTGCTGTGCGGACGCTGCTGCTGCTGCTACTGCCCCTGCTGCTCTTCCATGTGGCTGCCGGCGAGACGGTGGTGGCCGAAGATTGGCTGGAGAAGCCCCCACGGGGAGATTCGCCCTTCGGCTCCGTGTGGCCGCTGCCGCAGCTTCTGCGCTCGTCCCCGATTGCGCTGCAGCTGAGCCACGACCGCTTCCGCCTGGAGCACGACCCGGCCTCCAGCGCGCAGGTCCTGCCGTGATGTATACCCGGCGTTCATAACAGACACACTACGTAGGGTTGAAGGTTTCGTGACTGCAGGGATATATACTCTTTGGTTCTTTCGGTAAAGTCACGTAGGTAGAACGTGAATGTAAATACGACGTTTCGGGCGAAACGCAAGTGGCCGTCGTCAGCAGTCAATTTCTGAAGTGGGGAAAACAAAAATGCAACAATTCATCTTCTAGTTTCTTTCGGTAAAGTCACGTAGAAGGGAAATAATAAAGTAATAATAATAAAACATTAAATAATTATTTCCCTTCTACGTGACTTTACCGAAAGAACCAAGAAGATGAATCCCTGCAGTCACGAAAGCTTTAAATCGAAATTTAATTCAACAATTGTTTATTGATGTGGTTGTTTTCATCCTGATGACGGGCAATTTATTTTGTACCTACGTGACTTTACCGAAAGAATCAAAGAGTATGGAAACACTACGTAGTTACCACGATTTGGAGCTTTAAATAGATATACAGGGTGCTGCCAATATTTTTAACACTTAATTATAATTTGCAACAATGCCACAAGTAATGTTCCTCCAAGCTCTGGAGACCACCTGGAGAAGATTCCAGGCACGTGTTAACAATGATGACGATCAAGTGGAGACTGGCATTTTGAAGCTATTAAAATACATTTGTTATCATGTTCCAGTGTATTATCCGTTCTTTTTCCGTTAAAAACGATAGTCCCATTACAAGTGTTACTATTTTGCAAGCACCCCGTATAACATTCCACTGCAGTTTAGAACTTTATATTACAGTACACTATTGTACACTTTAAGTCATAGTTCACTACCACGGCACTTTTAAACGCCCATTTACGTTCCTGTGTCCAGCACGAAAGGCTGGGGGGGGCTCTTGGTAACTCACTGCACTGAACGACTTTACGGTACACACTTAGGCAACATCCCCCCTCTCTTACCTATATAACCTCTTACCACGATATCTCTCTCCCACTTCAGCAAAATGTTTCTTGCTGTGGTTTTCCCCACCTGATGATGATGGCTTGTGGTTGCGATCGAAACGTCGTGATTTAATTTATTTTCTACCTACGTTACTTTACCGAAAGAACCAAAGAGTATGGATCCCTGCAGTCACGAAAACTTCAAATCTAGATTGGTACACACTTGTTAGGCTACTTCCCCTTTACATTTTCAAAGGATTAGAAACGGGGGGTGGTCTTTGATATATCGCTCTCGAATGTGCCGGATCATCTCAGATCTCGGAAGCAAAGCAGAATTTTTTAGCCTGGCTAGTATTTGTTTTTGGCGAATATATGCATAACAGGTGTTTTATGCTGTAGAATCCATTGTGTGCTTACTTTATATATTGTACACCCCCGCCTTCAATCTGCACTAACCAACGTGGCCAAGTATGGTCATATAACCTCCACTGCCGTCATGACGTGGAAAATAGTATTGACCAAGAGCTCTACATTATCATTATAATTACTATGATAACATGGATATGCCAAAAATTCGACTATTTGAATATTGTTCCATTTTAGTTTTTCTGATGGTGGAAAAATGAAGATGGTTTTGGGTTTTAAAAGTCTGAATCTGCATATTTATACTGGAGGAATCCGGTGAGCTATGAAACTCTCACATTTGTCTAGTGGACATCTATGAAAGTCACATTGAGTATCAGGCATGGGGTTTACATGAGCATACTTCACCGCGCTGGTTGGTGCATGATGGTTACGTGTGGGCCAGAATCTAGTCACTACAGCTGTCCACTGATGTTATAGTGCCCGTAAAGCGAGATTGGGTTCCCAGGTTCAGAGATCATAACCGCTGCTCCGACCACCCCACTCGTGTAGTTTTGTTCCTTATTGGTTGGAGGAAAGCCCCGTAGGCAAAATCATAGTACAGTACTGTACAATAAGTTTGCAGAAGTGCTTTCATGCACCTTAGCGTCTGTTGAATAGGAGTGCAAAGTTGCATATTTCGTGTTTTACAACGAAGCTAAATTACATTTCGGGAAATGTATTGTGGAAATTAGAAATGACTTTGTGAAAGCTGAAAATAAATTAAGCTTCATTCAGTTTTCAGAAATGTATACAGTACATGAAACTCAGAGTCCATTTTATTAAACAACTTAAACATTTACACCCTAATACTATACATATGTGTACGTAGATTGAACTTCGTTCGCACCGTACGTAGGCAACCGTGCTAATCGGAGGTGTGGGGAAAGGACAACAAACTAAACACAAAAAGCAGTTCTAAAGAAATGAGTTTTCAATCTAAATTTAAAAGTGCATGGCTCCATTTGCTTCCTAATATTGGAAGGAAGAGCTTTCTGGATGGCCGCAGAAGCGGATCTGAAGTTAAGACACGCTCAGACTTCATTGAGGATGACTCGCTGTGCAAGGTGCTCTTTTTTTATATACACATCTGCAAGAGGTTGTAAATACTCCAGCTGTTTCTGAAAACAGTTCGCTCGATCGGTACTTTTAACTGTAATCGCGTATCATTGAAAACAAAATTCGGTTTTTAACAGTGCATTGCGCTATGCCACACACAGGTTGGATGCCAGATCCTCGACGATGCCTTCCGCCGCTACTACAATATCATTTTCAGCGGATCGCCTTATCCGGGGGCCTCGAGCAAGCTTCACCGCAAGCTTCACCGCAAGCCCACCACGAAGACACGCGCCGACGGCGAGGTCTCCTCACTGAGCGTTCTCGTGCAGAGCAGCCACAACGACTGCAACGACTTCCCCGGCCTCGACTCAAACGAGTCCTGTAAGGCAGCCTTTTTCTTGCTGGTTGTGGTGAAAATAAGAACCGGTTCCTTATAATGCAGCTAACTCTTTTAGAATGTGTGGGTGGATTTTCTTGATTTTTAAGATTAACTGTTTTAGAATACATGCACACTGGTTCAACTATTCTCTACTCACTCGTCGCGGGTCGGTGATTTTCTGCACGCTCGTTGATAAGTAAATGGCAGAGTACTGGGATGCATCATTTTACAGTCGCACCATTGAGAACATGCAGAGCATTAAACTAAATTTTAAAAGACATCGGATATGTGTGCTTATCATATGGCTTTGGGGTGCCACGGTGGTGAGATGTTATCTCCCTCGCCTGGTATGCAGGAGTGTGTGGGTTCCATCCCGACCCTGATGCCTGTGTATTTGGAGTTTGCATGTTCTTCCCGTGGTTGCATGGATTTTTATCCAGGTCCTCCGGGTTATCCCTCTACATTTACAAACGTGCTTTTAGATGATTTGGCTTCTATACATTTCCAAGTGATAATAAACTTTGTTGAGCTATTATTGTGTCCAGCTTGCTTCTGAAAAAGAGAAAATAGCTCGGTGGGCTTTACCTGATAAATAAGATAGTTAGGTTTACTTTGGAATGCCCTACCTGGAATGTGTCAGTTGTATTGCAGTTCTTCCATCTCACAGGTGTCTCTCTGTCCTGACAGATGAGCTGAGCGTGCAAGCGGGCGAGTCTCTGTTGCAGGCCCCCTCTGTGTGGGGGGCCCTCCGAGGTGAGGCCGCTTCCGAGTTTGTGTACGTTCACAGCACAGAGCAAACGTGATATATTGTGGACAAATGCTGATGTATGAATCCTATTTGTAAAGGAAAACAATGCCATCTGCCATGAAAAATTGTTTTCTTTTGCCATTTGCAAAGAAACCACGTAAATTTTCTAAGTTTGAATATGATGCCGGTTTTCCACCGTTCAAAATACAAGCAGATTCGTGCGTGCTAAGACCGACTTGGTGAAGTATAGTTACAAACTGGCATGATCGACATGGCATGGGAAGGTCTTCATCTTACAGATGGTTTGATAAAGGGCAGTAAATAATAATAAAAATATCTGTAGCATAACTCACTGCTCTGTTTGCTGTTTGCTGAAGGTTATGGTTGTGGTGTTTTATAATTCACTACAGGTCTGGAGACGTTCAGCCAACTGGCTTACCGGGATGACAATGATGGGGTGAGGACTACATTCACATAATTGGAGAAATAATAATTGCTCATGGAGCAAAAACACCGTATACTCTACTTTCAAAATGTACATTTCAGCCAAATAAACATTTGATGCCTACATGTGACATTACTTGTGGTTAAGCAAATTGTTGTGTTAGGAAAAATAACATGACTTGTGATTCCACAAACAAGGGAACAGTTTATGCTTTCGTCGTCATTGACCCACCAGTTGGCTTGTTGCCACAGTGTATTTTGCAGTCGTGTGCATGTACCATAAAAAGAAAAACAACGGCACATTGTAGCTTTTCTCCCACAGTCTTTATTGTAACAAAGTGACAAACAATGTTTTACATTGCAAGTGGAACTTCGTTGTTTTTAGTTTGAAAGAATTGTAGGAAGTTCCAGCTTCTGAGAGGTAATGCTTGATCGTGTCATTGTCAATTCATGACATTAGTTTAATGATGTGTATTTTTTTCACAATAAGATTTTAATGAACAAGACTGAGGTGGTGGATTTCCCTCGGTTCCGGCATCGCGGGCTGCTGCTGGACACCTCGCGTCACTACCTGCCTCTAATCGTCATCCTCGAGACATTGGTGAGTCATGCTGTGTGTGTGGCGATAGATGTGACAATTTGGAGTGAGAACTATTTATGTATGTATGTTGAACTTATTTCGCACACCGTACATAGCCAACCGTGTTAATTGGAGGTGTGTGAATCTGCCTGCGTCTGTGGTGCTATGTCTCTAAGTTGCACGACTTCACACAACCTTTTGCATGTCGTTGTCACGTTACCAATTTTTTTTATACACGTTTCTCTTTGATGCCAGTTTAGTTCCAGCCCCCCCCCCCAGCATGTTTTGTTCATTGAATCGTTACGATTGTGGGGTCACAAGTCTATTGAGTAATTTTTTTGTCTTTTTGCTTTCTTTTACGTTTCCTAAGGAGATCACATTTTGATGTAAATTAAACCTATTGTAAATAACACTTAAATGATTACATGCATGTTTTGGTGGGAGAGCATCGTTTATAACTGACAAATCCTTACATGCCCATTTAATTTCCTTTTTCGTCACAGGATGCCATGGCCTACAACAAGTTCAACGTCTTCCATTGGCACATTGTGGATGATCAGTCATTCCCGTACCAAAGCCAGACGTTCCCCGAGCTCAGCGAAAAGGTGAGATGAGATGGATAAGAGCATTATTGTGCTTCTTATCAACTACATCGCGATTGTGCTATCAGTATATCAGTGCCTCCATAACATGCTTTTTTCCTGGCAGCCTTCAATTATCTGTTCTAGATAGAAGTCTTTAGTCAAGCACATTGAGTTGTTTTACGATCTGGTTAACTGCTGAATTATCTATAATAGCTGACAAAGGTTGCATTGAGTTTAACAACGTTGTTAGTTTTTTTTACGCAGCCATTAATGACTGTTGATATAACCATGTTAATACAAACGTGAGCTGGATTTAATCATGGGCATTTCTTAACTAGCACCAAGCGTCTGAATAAAATTGGTTTATTTATCTGGCACGGATGTTATCCCTGAGTGATCTAGCCACCTCCGATTTAGCTATATTTTGCCGCTTGAGTTTATTTTAAATGGTCAGCCCCCCTTTCTCAAGCCAAAACTCTATGCCATTGTGACTCTTTCAGGGGGCATACGACCCATCCAGGGCTATCTACACCGAGACGGATGTAGGAGCTGTGTTATGGTATGCTCGCGAACGAGGAATTCGCGTCATTCCCGAGTTTGACACCCCCGGCCACACTCAGTCCTGGGGGAAAGGTATGCAAGTGTGTATGAACGTAGTGTGTTACTATTATATTCACTAGGTCCATTATCATGAATGGTGACATTAAACGGATGTGACCAATTACAGTTGTTAGTGCATAAAGTGAATAAATCGGATTTGAAAGTTTGAGCTCATTTGAACTGTGGAGGGGAGGGGTGGTAAAGTGAGTTTGTTTTGGGGTGTGCTTCTTTCATGTGTTGGCTTTTTAGAATGGGCTATTTCTATAGCACTTACATTTTTGGTCATTCTCCTTATTTCGTTTGAATTCACAATTGTGTAATTTTTTTTCCCCAGGTGAGCCAAACCTCCTGACTCCCTGCTACAATGGCAAGGAGCCTTCCGGCTTATTTGGTCCCGTGCATCCTGTGACCAACTCTACCTATGACTTCATGAAAAAGCTCTTCAATGAGATCGCCAATGTTTTCCCGGACCATTATATCCACCTTGGAGGTGATGAGGTCAGCTTCAGCTGCTGGTGAGAGCCTCTTGTTTGAGTAGTGAGGGGAAGACCCCCAGTACAATGCTACTAGGCGCAGCTTGGTTTTGGTTGGTCTAACTCTGCTTTTCTCTGGTTGTTATAACTATTAATATTCTCATTATTAGTTAATATAATTATAATCAACATGCATTTAGAGTATTTGACATGCTTTAAATTTCCACATGATACGCCACTTCGTTGAGCTATCATTAATGGCCAGGTTGCTTCTGAAAAAGAGAGCTCGGTGGGCTTTACCTGATGAAAAAAAAATAGTTTAGTAATGGCTGTTCTTACCAAGTGAGATCACATGGAGCTGCTGGCTGCCTAGCTGCCTGGCTGCCTGCCTGGATTCCTGGCAGACGGCAAGTTCTCGTGTGCGGTGGCGATGTCACCGTGTACCTCTGTTAATGAGGTTGCCTGCACCCCACAGCGCTGAGCCGGGTTCGTGCATCGCGCCAATTTCATGCCACTCCCTTAGCTCTGTATCCCGTGCAAATGCACGGGATATATTATCCATACCTTCTTACTATATTCGCTAAAATGTTTGGCTGATGGGAGGGGAGAGACTCATGGCCATAGGATGTGCGGCCCGCTATGTTCGGAAAAAGTTTGCTGGCTGGAGGGATGGACAGATGGATGGTCATGTCCAAAGGACATGCAGGCTGCTCGTTTAAGTATCAAAATAAAATTTTGGGGGTAATTTTTTATTTGGTATTTTCAGCTATGACAGTTTCAACAATTAACTGTAAACTAACAGGCTGGCAAGTGGTTGTTGGATGTTGGTTGATTCATGTGCCCTCTCATCCCTTGAAAATATAGTTTTCCATGTGGTTGATTTTGTAGTTAATGCTGCAGTTATCTTGCTCACAGGCAGTCAAACCCAGATATCACATCTTTCATGGAGAAGATGTCTTTTGGAAAGGATTACAAGAAGTTGGAGTCCTACTACATTCAACAGTAAGCAAAGAGCCCTGGCAGCCTAAACATCTCAAATTCATTCAGCACTAATAAATCGGTTGGTCTCTTGTAACAACAATCATCTTAAATAATGCACTTATGGATTTAGATTGTGTCCACTTGTGCAGTTCATGTAGTCGGCAACGTTTGCAAGATGTATATAATGTACTTGTGATTTGGAATTCTTGTTTTTTATATATATATTTTATCCCTTGATAGAATTCTGGACATCGTGGCCTCGTACAAAAAAGGCTATATGGTGTGGCAGGAGGTGTTTGACAATGGTGTCAAGGTACGCACATGGGGCTGTAGCTTTGTCTACTGCTGGTAACGGTTGCTTTTTGTTTTCTTCTACCACATTTGTAAAACACTTTCCTTTCCCACTTACCACCTTTTTATTCACATTCATAAGAGGTACCATCTCAGTTAAGGGACAGTGAGTGACCATTACAGAAGATAGGTCTATGGGCAGGCACAATATGCACAGTTAATTCTCTCATGCAGGTTTTTCTTGGTACTCTTTTCTTCACAAGGCATAAACTCGAAATGGAAACGACAAATAATTCGATTTTGTAAGTATTTCACATTATTAAGCAGCACTGTTAGATATTAGTCCCCCAATACACAAATGGAGGAGAATGAAAGTAAAATATTGGCAGTCCCGCAGGCTTTCAGTAATTCGCTAGAGTGGGGCGGGGGCAGCAAAAGGCAAGAGCGACAGAGGGGGGAGACGTGCTGATGCATCGCCCACGGGCTCCGTCGTTTTCCAGCTAAAGCCCGACACGGTGGTGGGGGTGTGGAAGAACGATAACTACACAGGCGAGCTGTGGACCGTGACGGACGCGGGCTACCCCGTCATCTTGTCTGCGCCTTGGTACCTGGACATCATCAGCTACGGCCAAGACTGGCGCAACTACTACTCCGTGGAGCCGCTTAAGTTTGTCGGTCGGTTGCGTCGGCCCTTGGGCCGCTTGCCCCCCCCACCACGTATAGAGTGGAATTAATAGTGGTGTAGGGTCTGCGATGCAACTGGTTCAAGTTCATTTATTTGGTATAGCCCTGTGAGCCGTTCGGCTCTTGAATCCGGATGCAACCGCAACAAACAAAAAACTGGTTGTCCAATGCAGAAAAAGCAAAAAAAACATTTCCGGATGAAATTGAAAATGTCCGCATTATTTATCGCAGTTCCAGTTAATTTCACGAGAGCAAAAACAAGCACAATCGTGAAGTATGTTAGACTTAAAACGGCGTGTGGGTTGTCTTACATTTTAATACGAATTCAATAATATATATTATTTGCTGTAGTTTTTACATTTGAGCAGCAAGTAAAAGCTTAGGTATATAATGCACCATGAATGTATATATTTTTTTCAGTAAACCGATTTAATGACTACAAATGTCAACAATTGTTTTCTTAATTTGTAGGGTTAGTTTGTTTTAATAGTTGACCAACAATTTGGAAACCAATACAAGGCACCTGAATGAGTCGAGGCTTCTGTATCGTATGGTTCAGTGCAGTTGTAAGTGACGATGCTATCGGCCAACTTCAACTTACGATTGACAAACTTTGCAGCTCCAGACTAAAACATTTAGTTTTAAATTGCATCACTTATGCCAAAATACCACTGTTTCCACATGGATGAATCTCTTCTGACAATTCACACGAACCAATCCGTAATGTTTTCTTTGGGTCTTTTTCTAAAGTTACGTAGATAAGTTCAAAGAAAATAAATAATAACAACTACGACGTTTCGACCGCAACACAAGCGGGTCGTCATCAGGAAAAGGGGGGTGGTGCTTTTCCCTTTTCGTAGTTTTGTGCTATTTTCATTGAACCTATCTACGTGACTTTACCGAAAGACCCAAAGAATATGAATTCCTGGAGTCACGATAACTTTAAGTCAAGATTCAATCAGTAATGTGGTTTTCACTATGCAGACAACTTGATGTCCATGTTCCCCATTGGGCAAGCTCTTCAAAACATGTTTATGGACGAAAGATGTTTTCCTTAACTTCACACTTGGCGTGAGGTTGTGTGAGTGTAGAGGTCATGCGTGCAGTCAATGAAATCGCTGGCTCTCAACCCAGCAGATGTGTGGCACAAATGGGAAGCAACCCAGTTGCATGTTCGCAGGCTGCAGTTCAGGCAGGTAGGGCAATAGGAGGAGATCTGGTTTCTACAGACGTTGTTTACTGTTACACAGTAACATATGCAGCTAGGATTAAGTAGTGGGCATACTTTGAGGTCCAGCTCAAGAATACTTTTCTCCGATTACGGTCTTTATAATTTTTAAATACTCTACAATCAGCTTCAGGACTGAGGTTTGTTAACCTCCATCTTCTCTCTCTGAGCATTTAAATCCCAACATTTACACTTGCTTTCATGTAAATACAAACTCTCTTCTAACCCTTTGTATAAACTTGACCTTTCAATCCACTATTCAATGCCACTCTCCAAGCTCTTTGGTTCATCCCTCCTTGTAACTCAAGTCCATGCCCGAAGAACTCCAGTCTATCCCGTTTGCCCCACGCGCCCATCCTTCCGCTCTACACTGTGCTACACTTGCAGTTGAAGCCGGACACAGTGGTGCACGTGTGGAAGTTCATGGCGGAACGCTACAAGCAAGAGATGGCGGAAGTGACAGCGGCAGGCTTCTCCACGTTGCTGTCAGCGCCGTGGTATATCAACTCAATCGCTTATGGGCAGGACTGGACCAAATATTACGTCGTCGAGCCACTCGACTTCAACGGTGCGTCCCCTTAGATTCTCCCGGCATCGGTGGCGACGTCCGCCGACCGAAATTTGAGCTGCGATCCAGAGTATGAATTTCCATTATCATCCAAGCTGGCAGAACGTTAGTGGGAGGAGCACTTTTACCAAGCCACTTGATAAAGTTTTTCAACATGTGGTAACGATTTTAATGATTATGACAACCCATAATCTTTTACGCTTTGATAGAGGTTTTCATATAACTTATACCACCTCCGATGGTGTTGGAAAATCTGGGCCCAAGGACTGCATGATCTCCAGGCGGCTTGTGCTCTTGCTTTGGCTATTAAGCTCTAATAGACCTCGGGCAATGTGCTTGCATATTCTTTTCTAAGACCCTTGAGCTTTTCTTGATGCCCTTTGTGCATGATAAACTGTCATTATAAGACCCTAATTTACATCTCACCTTTAATCAAACCTTTTCTTTTCCTTTCCTTGCTTGCTGCCATTAATGCTTTCTGCCATTTACCTCATTCACATCGCGTTTTCCTTGCATGACATCTTTCGTGGACAGTAAAATGACAGAGGTGAGGCTTGGCAAGGAGATCTGTGCTGAGGCACGTATTTTAATAAAAGAAGGCTGTCGCTCTGGATATTGAAATTTCTACTCTAGGCATAGAGCATCAGCAGGGGCAGCCACTGGATCAATTGGGCCAAGGACTGCTGGAGGTCTGTTAACAGCCCTGGTGATTGCATGCATGCCTCTACACCTGCGCTCGTCTGTGTGTGTGTGTGTGTTAGTGCCTCCCATAACTAAATGCATGCACACGCATCCAAAAATCACATGTGTAGAACTTAATAGTAAATTAAAGAAATGTTAACAATTATTTAAATTTCGATTTAAAGCTTTCGTGACTGCAGGGATTAATATTCTTGGTTCTTTTGGTAAGTCACGTAGAAGGGAAACAAAATAATAAAAATAAAATAATAAATTTCTGACGACGTTTCGATTGCAACACAAGCAATCATCAGAAAATGTTCTTGCTGTGGTCTTCACACATGATGATTGCTTATGTTGCAATCGAAACGTCGTGAGAATTTTATTGTTTTATTTTATTATTTTCCTTCTATGTGACTTTATCGAAAGAACCAAGAATAATTATTTAAATGTTAAAGGCAAACCTCATGTAATTGTGTTAATGCCAGGGAGCCACTTTACAGATATAGTGAAACGTTGAGAACATTTTTCAGGACACCAACCTACTTTATTGCTAAGTGAAGGACCTATTAAATTGTGAAACTTTTACTAATTGTGGTCATGAGGAATTTTAGTGACTGTAAAAATTTCCTGCTATATATACGTCAAAATGCTAAAAGCAGGAACATTATAAGGACGTTTCTCTGTCGTAGGAAGATCACCCCACTGCATTTGCACCAATTAATGGGTATGGACACCTCAAAGGTCCAACAGAAAACAAGTGTAACTCGGCACTCCTAAAAGTGTATCTCAAAGTTAGTAAAATCCCATTTGAATTGTAATTAATGAGGGGAGACAACTTTCCGAGTATTACATGTTGCGAGTAGGTGTTGTAAATGGATTAGATTTGCCTGTATGTTGAGTTTAGAAGGGCTTTCAGATGCGCTTCTGCGGCCATCTGGAACGCTCTTCTGATAGTAAGAAGCCGCTGGGAGCTATGCACTTTTAAATCTAAATTGAAAACTCCTTTATTTAGAACTGCTTTTTGTGTTTAGTTTGTTTTCACTCCCCCGCACCTCCGATTAGCACGGTTGACTCCTACCGGTGGTGTGAAAGAAGGTCTGCATGCATTTACCTCCGCACTTCCACACACCCCCCCCCATCCCAACGCAGGAACCGATAAGCAGAAGGAGTTGGTGGTTGGAGGCGAGGCGTGCCTGTGGGGCGAGTATGTGGATGGCACCAATCTGACCCCCAGACTCTGGTGAGCACAAACTCGCGCGGTCTCCTTGCACTCGTTTGTATGCTAATCCGTCGGTTGGCCATGCAAAAAATTGTTTTTCGCTTTTAGTACACGCATTGTGTTATGCGTAATGAGTATTATTTGCAATTAATGAAGATGATGTACATTAAGATTATGCACATGATGTGCCAATGTTACATTTAGGCAAATGGAGTGAACGTAACTCTACAAACGAAAGTGAAGAAAAGAGGAACCGTATAAATGAATAGATTTGTTAACTATAACCCCGAATTGTGAGAATTCACTCATGCTCTGGGGTGGTGAATCATTACACGCCTAAAGAATATTAGTATCTTCACATTAATGTTTATTTGTATTTGTAAACACTGGGCTTTACTCTGCTTCATTGATGTTTTGCAAGCGTATATCAAACTTAAAATGTAAAACGTGTTAGCTATCACAATATATAGGGATGCACATATGACTCAAATTTCCATTGCGTAGCATATGTAGGTGTAAATTGGTGAAAATCATTCCCTGCAGACTTTGCGAATGGTAAAATGAGCATGTGGATTGTGCATGTATCACCTGTGTACACAACTTGTGTGTGTTTAATACATTTGTGTATGCATGCCACATTTGTGTCCTATGTGCTTGGTGTTTTACTATGCAAGGGGTGTGTGGTTAATATATTTGTGCTTGGCTTGTGTGTGCATAGTGAGTGGCATGTTTAATACTGTGAGTGTTTACTTTCCCAAAGACCTATGTAGGCTACACGTGGCGTCTTTGACTTTGTTTACTTGTGGTGCGTGCATTGATTCCCCAGGCCTCGTGCAAGCGCAGTGGCCGAACGCCTGTGGAGCGACAAGAGCGTGACTAATGTGAACGACGCCTACAGCAGACTTGCAAAGCACCGCTGCCGCATGGTCCAGTACGTATGTGTGCGTGCGTGCGTACGTGCGTGTGTTCTTGTGCGATTTGTGTGTGTGTGTGTGGGGGGGGGGTGTTAGTGTCGTGGTTAATGCACTGCACTACGAACCCAGAGACCCAAGTTCGATTCCCAGACACAACCGGCATCGGTGAGTAGTGATATATGTAACTTGGCCTGGGCCTTGCCTATGGTGCGGTGTGTAAAGCATGAGCACTGGGGAGATAATGGTGGCAGGGCATCGTGCGAGCCAAATCATCTCCTTGTGCACTGAGCATGCTCGGCTGTTTTGCCTGGGTAACCGTTGAAAAAGAGCATTTTGGCTCTGACCCTTACCTAAACTGACAGACGAACTGAAAGTGCCGGCCTTGAAAGATGCACGCCAATAGTGCCAACGGCCTATAAAAGGCTATGCAAGAGATCTGTGTCTCTTTATGTGGAAACCTAAAAAAAAGGCTTTATTTTTTTATCACATTCACCTGCGACTAATTGAGTTTGCACGAGCAATATTAGGCATTTTTATTTAACTCTTATCCTGGCTTGGGTCTTCTTCCATTCGTTTGTCCCACTCGTGGGGTCCCTCTGTCCTTGCCAACCTTCTCCATGCTATCCTGTCCTGCACTCGCTCTTTCCACTCCTCGGGCCACAATGTCCAGTCGCACCACTTCCTCACTACTTCATTTATCACCATTTTCTTGTTAAACCCAACATCCACCGCAACATCCTCATCCCCTGTGACTGCCATAGCTTGGTTCTTCCTCTTTCTTTTGTGACCCAGCACTCGGCACCATACATCAGCACCAGCCTCACCAACTTTTCGCTTCAACCAAACTGGGGACCCTCTTATCGCACACCACACCAATCTTCTCTCGCCATTTCAGCGATCCAGCCCTTGTTTCTTGTTCTCATCGCTCCTTCCAGTGATCCATCGGCACACATCGTTCCACCCAGGCACTTACACTCGTTTGTCTTTGTTAACTGGTCACTTAAAATTGGCAATCCTCCTGCATTATTTCCACTGACATTTTCCACCATGTACTCCGTCTTTGTCCGACTGATCCTCAACCCATTCGCTTCAATCTTCAAATCATATTCCACTACCCCTTTGCTGTCACCACATAGCACAATATCGTCTGTAAACAGCATACACCAGGGGGGCTCCCTCTGAATATCTCTCGTTAGTGTGTCCACCACCAGGGTGAACACGAAGGGACTCACCACGGAACCTTGCTTCACTCACGTTTTGACTTGAAAGCTCTCCAACACCCCACAGCTGCTTCGCACATGCATTTTCCCTCCTTCATACATATCCTAGATCAGCCGGACATGTATACCTCAGGAATACCTCTTCTCAGACACTGCCAGATGAGCTCTAGGCACCCTGTCATACGTTTTCTCTTGCTTGGGTATTCAATCTTAATCTATATTACGTACAGTGCTACCCATTACACACTGATTGCTGCCCAGGGAAGCAATCGTCACAAAGCACTTAGGCGTTATGGCGAGTCATCATGAGACTAACAAATGAGCCAGGATATAGTGAAAAACAATTCCCATGCCTAACTAGAGTAAGGTAAATAAGAACTGGGCAATACTGCCAATGCAAACGTGAATGATCATTTACAATAAATACTAACACTCCACTGGTAGTCACTCAACACTACAGCTTGAGTGCATCAATTAGAACCCACCTCCCCCCACTAAAGTTGAAACATTTGCATGTAAGAAATAAGATCTAAACATGCAGAATGTATCAACCTGGGAGTCTGTACATATTTCGAAGCATATTTATTTTTACCCAGTTAATTTTGATCTTCAAACGTACATAACCACATGGTTTTGTTTCGAACAAAGATAAATCTCTCCCAATTTAGTTTAAAAGTCCTGTTAGCGAGCAGCTACACAGTTAAAGCTCTCAAGGTCGGCGAATCGCAAGGGTGGTGAGGTTGGCACAATTTTGCCAGTGCTGACGGCACCGTGCGCTAGATCACATGCTCTTTAGACTTGATGAACACTAGGACCATGCCATGTTGAGATGCTGCTTGGCTTAGCGTGGTGGCACTCCAGAAATCCAGCATTGTGCAGGCAAGGGTTGTTGAATTGTACATTTGTGCAAAACTCAAACATACTGGGCTGGTTATGGCAGTACAGCAAATGTGTTCATGAACTCCGACTTTGTATCTTTGAGTACCAGCCCTTATGATGCACGGGGTTTCTCCTTGTATTCTTGTTTCCTCCAACAAGCAAGACAAACTCTAAATTGGCCAAACATTTCAATGCAAAGACCCTCTTGAAAAGGTCTTGACACTCTTGAGGATGTCCTGTATATGTACATGGAATTACTTGCCACTGGCATTGGTGAATATCAGGAATCAACCATGGATTTCTGGGATTGTATCGTAGTGTGCGATCCGTGTGACGGTAGGTTCTGTGCCTAATGACCATAACCCAAAATGTGTCTAACCTCCTGAAGATAAACATATTTAAGCCTGTATTGTACTTGAAAGAGTGACTTACCAAGTGCAAATAGGTATTAACTTTTGCAACTGCTACGTTGTATGCAGCAGAGGATGGTGCAGCAAATTATATTGTTGTATTGTGTCTATGCTCCCACTCCTAAACTGGCCTGCTATCAATCCACACTGAACAGCATGATGAAGTGTGGTTTAAAGAACCCCCTACAACCCACGTGGCATGGAGAGACCCTCAGCCAGCATTGGATTGCCAACAGCTGTATGTGTACGTGTGTATGTGTGTGACGCATGCAGGCGTGGAATAGCAGCCCAGCCCCTGTTTGTGGGCTTTTGCGACATTTAACCGTGCACTGGACGAACCAGGGATGCCAGCCCAGGGAAGCTAAATCACTCTTGAATCTGCACGTCAATGCATGTCCCTCCTGTACCATCATTCGGTAATCACTGTGCCACCCTTGAGAGCCGCACGGTCACAACGGTTATTGTGAATTGGAATTTCTCAGCCAGGGATTGGTGTTTGTCATTGGCTCTCTTTTGTTATATACGATGTTTTCTTTCCTGTTTTCATTTAATGTGCTTTTGTGTCCGCCTATACCCTCTGCAGGATTTGTTAAATGCAAGTGTGCATATACAAGTACCATGAAATCAGATTATGCTTTACAAACGATCTGTTTGTACTGTGTTTTCATCCAGCAATTGGGTCATAAAGCATGGTCTATGGTTATATAGACCAGTTATTAAGGAACACTCCTGAAAGATTAATGCATCTTTTTGTTTTAAATAGATTTCTTGAAACTTGGTCGCTTGGAGCTGTTGCATAGTACAAATAATTCCTGTTGCTCTAACCTGAGGTTTGTAGTTTTTGGAGCAATCCTTTAAATGTTGTCAGCTTGCCACATGCTGACCACTTAAGTTTTTGAAATACAGTTGATTTTGTTGTTTTCTGATTCACGTATGCATATGTGTAGTGGTGCCCTTGGATGCACGTCTTAAACCATAGTGTTGTAACCATTTGAGGATGCTGCATTGCATCGTGTGATTTGCAGCTCTGACCAACAATGCAGGTTCCTTGGCATGTGGCCAGCTATTCAAAACCAACAAACCCAAATGACTCGATCCTAGCACGAGGAAGTCCGTTCAACTGCTTGATGAGCATTCGTGCAACATGTCTATGAATACTAGAAATTAATAAAACTAACACGCACACTTGTCACTGCGATCACAAATGCACTGCGATAATAAACGAGCTAGTGGTGTTCTCTCAGCCACGCCAGGAGCGTGTTGAACCTCAAGACATTTACCTGCATGAAGCCACTGTTTTGTGGTGGTAATTTACAAAAAGTAGACGGTTGACATGCAAGCACATGTTCCAGGGAATGATTTGTGGTGGCTGCTTATAAGTGAAGAGGGTGGATTTTTTTTGCTTCTGGCTTACGATTCTGTGATGCTTTTTTTCCTTGAGTGTTTTACCCGTTTATTAATTTGCACTCTGGAGAGCAAATACGGTTTGCCAACTCCATTTTTTTAGTGTATTTTATTAGGAAAGATGTATTTACTGTTTACAGTATATATACACATGCAGACTGTCAACAAATGTACGGACATTTATGAGCCCAAGCCTTAAGAGATGAGATGTGCCTTTTGTAGAAAATAATCACAAGTTGCAGTGCTGATTCTGAGATGTGCAAGGGAAGAGCTATGATGCAGTTGCTCATCTACCCTCCAACTGAGAATTCGTGCACTGGGACATGTCTGCACTGTTAAAAGAGGGTGCACAACGTAGGATCCATAATCTCCTTTCCATCCATGACCTGTTATGTCATCTGTCTGCAACAAGATAATGGCGTCAAGTATTCAGGATTCTCTTTAAAAAAAAAAGCCTTTCCGCAAGAGAAGTCAACCTAATTGTCCGTCGCGCAACAGTGTTCACAAGGAGAGGGGACGAATCGTTGGCAGACGTGCTTGTGCAGTAACGTGCACCAAGACGCGTGATAAAAATCGACCGATCCTGGGGCTTGAATATAAAGTGCTGTTTTTCTGTGGATGCAATTGACAGCACCTGATTGTGCTGTTAACCAATCAGGCGGTCATATAAGCAGACAGCACCGTCTCTTAAAACAGAGTTGGCGCCTCATCCATAGGAAATGCAACACCATTGACATTGAAATAAAGCGGCAATGTTATGCATGATACGTATTCATGTGTGTAGTTTAATTTCTTTTCGGGGGTTCCCTTGTCCTGGCTTTTGGGTAATGAATGTATTTTATATTCAGAGGTGGAATGTGAATTTTGATTTGCAGTGGTTGGGAAGCCTCTGAGATGACAGCTTTTTAGCATCATATTTTTTGTCATTTGATTTTTCTCATGGAATTTCTACGAAAATAAAATTGACATGCACCCAACTGAACTGATGGTGTTTTATTGAGTGGAATGCATGATTTTTAAATATTTTATGTAAATTGCAACCCACAGTTTATGCTATTTGAAAAGTTATCAATAAAACTGATCTTAATTTTAACTAATTCTCATAATTTGTGGAGCTGAGATTATCTGGAGCAATATCTTAGACTGCTTCTGGTATGTTAGTACAAATGATGTTGATGCCGAGGGTAATGATTGAGATGTAACGCTACTAATTATTTTTGGTTCCTGGGTAGTAAGTGTTATTTCGTGATTGCTTATGCCTAAAAGGTACAGAAAATGGCTATTCCCCACAAACTTTGCTTTTGTGACCAGGACAGTGATATTTTGAAATTTACCTATTTTCAATGAAAACGGGCAAATTTGTGTCTGCGGTCAGTCAGAAAAAAATATATATTAATAAAAATTAACATGTATTTATACTAACGTAATACAAAAAATATAAAAAGATTTGGACACCAAGGTGCACTACCACAGGCGGGACTGGCCACAGTGGACCGAGTTCTCTGTGGGGAGGAACAATGTCAAGTGGGGAGCCACTGGTGGACCCCCGGAAGGTGCTGATGCCACCACTGCACATTAAATTGGTCCTTACGAAACTATTTGTCAGAGCTATAGATAAGGAGTCAGCAGCCTTCAAGACTTCTTCCCTAAGCCGTCTGAGGCAAAGGTCAAAGCCGGTGTCTTCGTCGGACCACATAAAGAAGATCCTGGAGTGCAATTAATTCCCCAAGAAGCTCGCTAGTAAGGAGAAAGCAGCTTTGAACATCTTTTTCGCAGTGGTTCGTGGCTTCCTGGGCAATCACAAGGTCGAAAACTACGTGGAGCTTGTTGAGACTGGTGAAGAACTACAGCACAATGGGCTGCAGGATTTTTTACTTAACTTTAGTGACTGCAGGAATTCATTCCTTAGTTCTTTCGGTAAAGTAACTTAGAAAATAAAAAAATAAAGTTAAAATCTATATATAAAAGTCAAAAACCCACGACGTTTCGATTGCAACACAAGTGGTCTTCATCAGGCGGAGAGAAAAGAGAAAAAGGGCTGTAGGATGTCCCTCAAAGTCCATATCCTTGATGCTCATCTTGATAAATTCAAGGAGAACATGGGAGCGTACTTGGAGCAAGGCGAGCGCTTCCACCAGGATATACTGGACTTCTAACGCCGCTACCAAAGACAGTATAACGAGAACATGATGGGAGACTACATTTGGGAGCTGATTCGTGAAAGTGACTTGCAGTATAATCGTAAATCTTGAAAAACTACTCGCTTCTAAATCTGTTGTAGTCATTTTTGTATTTGTTTAGTATATAAATACATGTTAATTTTGATTAATATGGTTTTTTTTCTGACTTTATGTGAACGAAAATACAAATTAGCCTGTTTTCTCATTGAAAATAGGTAAATTTCTAAATATCACTACTGGTCACAAAAGCAAAGTTTGTGGGGAATAATAGGCATTTTAAAAATACTTTTAGGCATAAGCAATTACGAAATAACACTACCCAGGAACAAAAATTGTGTTACATAGTGTAACCATTACCCTTATGATTCCGTTGCCTAATTAATTTTCCCAGTGAAGTAACAATCACCTGGAATATGACCACTAACGAGGTACACTTTCCAGTTTTTGTTTTTTCTGTTTAATCGCTCAATTGTAAACTGCGGTACCGGCGTCAAAACACGCAGCAGAATGTGCCGCCGGCTTCGTTCTCCGCTTGAATGCAATCTGCGCACCGCGCGCTTCCCATTGTGCTCCGCTGAGCCCCTCGATGGGAGCCTGTGACCTCCCTGTGACCCCCCACTGTGTGTGTGCCCCCCTATTTAACGCGCTGCGAGCACGCGCGCACATCCTCGCGCTTGCCCGCTACCGATGCACGTCTGGCCGTCGCTCTGCCCTTGTGGCCTCGGACTCGCTCCTGGGTGGCTCTACCACAGCCCCCGCCGCGCTGGAGGAGGAGGCGGAGGAGGAGATTTGCTGTCCATTTCGCGCTACGTGTGGCGCTTGATGGAGCGGAGCGTGGAGAGAGAGCTTGGCTCGCACCTGCAGCACCAGCAGCAGCAGCAGCCGCAGCAGCCGCAGCAGCCACAACACCAGCAGCAGCAACAGCAGCAGCAACAGGGCAGCTGCTCACAGGGTTTTCTGCGCTTCTGCACGCGACTGCCTGATCTTCCTCTTCTGCTGCTGGTGTTGCAAGGAGATCATCGACTGAGTTGTGCACGAGCACGAGGAGCGACGAGACTTTTGTTATTGGAGTGTGATTACTGGGACGCGAGCTGCTGGATAGTCATCCATCCGGCTGTGTGTGTGCAGCTGCTGGAGGATCATCACGGGACAAGTAGACATTTTCTTTGGTTTGGATGTGCTGTAAGAATGAACGCATAACTTCACCAATATGTGCATTTTAAATATGCGTGTGTTACAAACCTGTGAAGTGAAAATTAATTCAAATTGGCGAATTGAATTTTGCAGGATGTTTTGAATGTGATGTTGCTTTGCTATTCAAGTTTACATAACTAAACTCCAATCCTGTTTAAATTTCGATTTAAAGCTTTCGTGACTGCAGGGATTCATCTTCTTGATTCTTTCGGTAAAGTCACGTAGAAGGGAAATAATACTCCGGGATAAGAAGGCTCAGCTAATCGAGTCTCTCACCTTTCTGAAGACATGCCGCGACTACCAATCACATTTTCACTAACCTCTATTTTATTATTTCCCTTCTACGTGACTTTACCGAAAGAACCAAGAAGATGAATCCCTGCAGTCACGAAAGCTTTAAATCGAAATTTAATATTATACCTCTTACGATGAAATACTTGAGCGCAGGTGGGTGAATTGGATCAAGGATACCAATGTGAATGAGTGGGCCAGGGTGAAGTCCGCTTTTCTCATCATGCAAAGAAGGTGCAAACCTGAGAAGAATGCCAGAAGAGGTGACCAATTTCCCCGTTTGAGATGGCACCTAATGAGTTGACGGAAATTAAATAAATGCATTCACCATTGGTATACCGCTCAATGTTTGACCCGAATTTGATTCCACGCCATAGCGCTACGAACCCGGTGACCCGAGTTCGATTCCCGCTCACGGCCACCACCGGTGACGATTATTTTAACCGCTCTTGGGCCTCCCCTAGGTCGACTCAGCCTCAAACGAGTAACTGCTGTGATGTGTGAACATCGCCACTGGAGAGACAAAGGCGGCCGCGCGTGGTGCTGTCACCCACGCCCTCGTCAGTAACAAGTGTGATATCTGAACCGATCCTGGCCAGCGTCTAAAAGTATGCTGAAAACAACTCTCGTGCCTGACATGTTTGTATGTTGAACTTCTTTGCCACCATACGTAGCCAACCGTGCGAATCGAAGGTGCGGGCTAATCGGACTGCGTCTGGGGGCATTGATCCTGCAGTGGCATGATAAAAGGGCTGTAGAATAACTGCGAATGTTTGCGGTGTTTGTGTAGGGATGTTGTTGGGGCTTAATGCGGATCACGAGGGTGCGTTGTTCGTGGGGTTTTTTTTTTTACCTTCTGTAAAGTTGAAGCGTGAGCATTTTGCCTCTGCCCAAATACGTCACCATTTGTGTTTCTAAATCGGGAGAGTTGATCCTGTCTGCTGACTATCACCGCCCTGTGTGGTGGGGCAGCGATTGGGATGGGCGGTTTGGAGATTAGGTAAGAGGGATTGAGCGATATCCGGGTTTTAATGGACTCATTTTAATTTGGCAAGCACTGTACATCAAGCATGCAATATTACATGTGTGTATTTATACTACTGCATGTGAGCACACAATCTACAGGCCTTTGTCAATCTGCTGCTGGATGAAGGCCTTCCAACGCCATGTTAGAGAAGGGTTTATTTCACCATACTTCACCGCATTGATCAATGCGTTTGGAGAAAGGGGAGCCAAGGACCAGTTGAGATAGCACTCCCCAAATATGTTGCTATGGCCGGGATTTGAATTCAAGTTGCCGGGTTTAAAGGGCAGTGTGCTAACCACTCTGCCACTACTACACGGTGCACACGTCTGTGTTAACCCTCTATTCACTCCAGCACAGTACACTACGACAATACCAGCTTACCATTCTTTTGATTTCTTGCCGTTTAATTTCTGAACCTATGTTGACTTGGCGGAGCTGAACCGGTAGGGTGTGTGGACATCACAAGGAAGCTGGCCATGATGCCAGTTCCATTGGTCACACGGGGACATCGATGGCACATTCCCCACCCAGCATTTCTCAAAGCATCTGCAAGTAGGGGATGTTTGTCACATCCTGTACTGTGGTAGCTGTAGCTGTAAGCGCTACGAACCTGGCGACCCGAGTTCGATTCCCGCTCACGGCCAAAATCAGTGACGATTATCTGAACCGGTCGTGGGTCTCCCCTAGGTCGACTCAGCCTCAAATGAGCACCTGGTGCGGTGTGTAAACATCGCCACTAGGGAGACAAAGGCGGCCAGGCGTGGTGCTGGCCCACCCACCTCGTGTGGGGTTCTGGCCTTCATAGGTGCTCGCTAACAGCACTTGCCCCAACATTATGTTAAAGGCTATACGGGGGATTTTTGTCTTTACATTTTTTGTAGGGAGCTGCGCTACGAACCCGGCGAACAGAGTTCGATTCCCGCTCATGGTCAACATCAGTGATGCTTATCTGAACCAGTTCTGGGCCTCCCCTAGGTCGGCTCAGCCTCAAATGAGTACCTGGTGCGGTGTGTAAACATCGCCACTGGGGAGACAAAGGCGGCCGGGCGTGGTGTTGGCCTCCCACCCCTCGTGTGCCGTGCTGCCCTTCATCGGCGCTCGCGAACAGCACTTGCCCCAACAGTCTGTTAAAATTCCATACGCGAGATCTTTGTCTTTGTATCCTTGTCTGTTTACATGTTCGTACAATGGTCACCTTGTATCTGTTTGATGTTTCTGTAACTTAATTTGTAATTGTACTGGGGATAATCTGCCCGAGCTGACCTGGGCTGCAGGGAGTTTATTATTAGCATCGGTTGTGTTGGTGCAGTGCTTTAGATTTCTCACTTGACATTGTGGGGTTTTTTTGTTATAATTTCTCTCGTTGCGTGGTCGCTGAACTTTATTTAGTGATAATCTTGACTTAAAGCTTTCGTGACTGCAGGAATTTATACTCTTTGGGTCTTTCGGTATTATTATTTTTTATTATTATTTTTCTATCTACGTGACTTTACCGAAATACCCAAAAAGTATTTATTTAGTTTGTTTTTTCTTTTGATGGTCCAGGTCACTATTCCAAATTAGACTCGCCTGGTCTCTTTGAGTTCTCACCTTGTTTAACCAAATAAACTTAAAACATATCATCCACACCAGCAGAACTGTGAAAAGTGCCAATGGAAAGCACAATTTAGTCCTCCTTAATGGCTATTGGATTCTTGTAATAATACAGCAATACTGACAGCAGCAGTATTATACAACAAATGATCAGTTTTATGTTTGTAAAAAAAATCCCCAGATTTAAGGCTGGATCATGGGTTCTGAGCTGCAAAGGCCCTTTGAGCCAAAAGATCGGGTGAGTTATGATTGTATTCTTCCTTTAGTAATGCCTTTGTGCTTTTGCCAATTTTTTTGTGAGCTCCATCACGGACACATAGCTTTTAACACTGCATAATGGTCTGTAGAGGAGATTAGGCGTTGAGGCCGAATGGACTAAGCATGGGCAATGTCTTCCACATCAACCAATCCTAGTTTGTTATTTGAGGAATGTTCATTATGCTTGAAGTCAACGGTGCGAGCCACTGTAATTTGGATTTTCTCCAAAAAATTGTTTGGGTAATCTTTTGGATATCATGTCACATGCATATTCATCTTTTTTTTAAGTGTGCAATTATTTCAAACACTGGTTTAACAGAATTGGTCAGACATCCAAGACCGATTAAAATGTTTTGAGATTCAACGAAGCTCTCTGGGATCAGTGTCGATTAACCTTTTCTATCAAATGCGCCATTGAGCACCTGTGCAGAGTAATCTAGAACCAACGGCACGATCCGGCAGTGACGCATTTGTCCTTCGCGTGATATTCCTCAACGGTCTACCTCGTATAACCACTACCCCGTGCTCTTCTCAACTATGCAGACATTGTTTTGTCACGTGCTAAAATTATATACGTTAAGCTAGTCAGAATGAGCCAAATCTGGTCATGCACAAAAGCATAATTTTACTCGGTGGCATTTTGATTCCATCATCGGTGACGGGACTGAAATTATCAAATTCGCCGTGCGCAACATGCTGACTTCATCACTGTGATGATGATGATGCAGAGTGCTGCTACCAGATGTATTGCACCCGAAAATGTTATCATACCATTATGTACAACTCAAGTCCCAAAGATCCCTCAATTTACCCCCAACTTGTTTTGGAAGCCAATGAAGGGATCTGACCACCCTCGATTTAAAATCTCTTAAAATGCAAGACCATACTCTCCGTTTTGAAAATCGTATACGGTATTGTTCTTTCTTGCCATCTCCTCTTTTTCCTTGCCTAGTTGTATGCGCTCTGCTCTAACAACCAAGGCCTCCTGGTTGAAACCCATATTCAACCTCCAGTTTCTGGGAGGTCGCTGCTCATTCTCTACTGGCCATTTTATTTATTGACATTATCCTTTGAGAGAAGCAAATTTTAATATAGGTTACATCGATGATGCTGGCCCCTGGCTGCAACCCAAGCACTCGTCCCATCGAGTTGGCCTGCCAGTCATCTCCACTGACCAGTAGCCTAACTAGCATGGGGGAGGGGGTCCCTTGACAACCAAGCGTACGATGTTTTCAACAAAAACATAAAATTACGTGATTAGGCAAAAGGAGCCGCGATATACAGGGTACTTTTAAATTTTTTTTAACACTTCTGAGAATTTGCAACAATACGACGATAAATGTGCCTCCGGGTCCTGGAGACCACTTGGAGAAGATTCCAGGCATGCGTTAAAAATGATGGCGAACAAGTGGAGACTCTGACATTTTGAAGCTATTAACATACATTTGTTATAATGTTATAGTGTATCATCCGTTCTTTTTCCATTAAAAACGATAGTGCCATACAAGTGTTAACACTTTTTTTGAAGGACCCTGTATATATAGCCTAGGTGCGACCGTGCGAGACAAACCGAATATTGGGACCTCCACCCGACCAATAAGCCCCCCCCCCCCGAGCTGATAAGGCGGTGACCACGGCCACTGCCACCGGAGCCAGTGTTTGTGTGTCGCGCTGCTTTGGCAGGTGACGCTCTACGACTTCCCAAACCTGCAGGGCAGGGGGCTGCCCTTAACGCAGGACTGCCCTCGCTTACTGGAGCCGCGTCGCTCCTTCCGCTGCCGCACTGCCCACGAGCCTGCTGCCCAGGGCCCTGTCCGCTGCCACTCGGTCCGAGTGTCTCGTGGCGCGTACGTAACAGCAGCGATGGCTTTGCCCCGGCCACATCGGGTCAGAAGCGCGCTGGGTCTAAAGCAGTGGCATTGCGTGGTTTTGGCATGGGGCCCTGGTGCATTTGCCATTTCTCCCCGCTCTTCGTGACCCAGTGCCTGACCTATCCAGCTCGCAGGCACTGGTGCAGTTTCACCACCTGCAACACTGTATAGCTACTAAACTAAAACTAGATATTTTTTTTTATCTTACCAGGTATGGCCCACTAAGCTATCTTTTTTCAGAAGCGATCTGGCCACAAATGATTGCTCAACGAAGTTGATTCTAACTCCGGGAGGGGAGCACCTGGAGAAAATGCACGCGACCACGGAGAGAACACGCAAACTCCACATATACAGGAGTCAGGGTCGGAATTGAATCCACGACGTCCTGTATACCAGGCGAGGTAGTTAACATCTGGCCAGCGTTGTGGCTCGGCACATCTTGCTTTGCTGCGATTACCGGCATGACACGAGCAACCTGTGGTCAATAGTGTTCGTGACGAAAACAAATATTTTTTGTAATTTTTAAACGAAGTTCCAAATCAAAGAAACCTGGGTCTTTACTAAGATACATTGCTGTGGTAGAGCACTCAAAGTCACAACGGTAAGGTCATGATTTGGTTGAAATATTCTTTTGAGAATCGACCTCGGCTCATCGTTATTCCATGGTCGATACAATGAGTAGCAGCAACATCCTGAGATGAAGTTGCTTTCAGATGGTGCATAAGTCAACAGTTTTTGTGGGCATAACTACTTAATGATAATTCAGCAGCTGCTGTAAGAACGTGGCATTTTCAACTCAGAGCTCAGATCTTGCTACCGTGGATGAGCAACAAACACCCAGTGCTCACTTTATTACGGAGTTGACTATTTCACTCGAATAAATCACCAAAGGCCCACATTTCAAGGCAACGTGGTTTCAAATGTCGTTGCATTCATTCGTGCATGCGTGCGCGCGCGCAAAGTAAATTGCGGCGTTCTCCCCCTTACCTGCCCTCTCGCAAGGTGGCTGGGCTACGCCATGGAGGAATTCTCGGGCCCGGCCGGACTGTGGGACGGGGTCAGCGGAGGTGAACACCGCCACGCGGGCAGCTGGGGCGGATTCCCGACCGTCGTCGCGTCCGTCCGGAGGCTGCGTCGGGTGCGCAGCAACCGCCGACAAAACCCATGATTCGGCACGGGTGAAACTGAACCCAAGATTCTAGATTTGAAGCTTTCGTGACTGCAAGGATTCATACTCTTAGGTTTTTTTCGGTAAAGTCACGTAGGTAAAAAATAAAATGAAAAGTTAATTAAAGTGATAATGGAAATAAAATAAATCACGACGTTTCGGAGGCAACGCAAGTCTCCGTCATCAGGTGGGACAGTCACAGCTAAAATTACTGCAGTAAATTTTTATTTTATTTTTTACCTACGTGACTTTACCGAAAAAATCTAAGAGTATGAACCCAAGATATTGTCGATGCTGATACGTACTGGCAATTGGGGGTCTCCCTCATATTTATTCGTGTTATCCCTCCAGCGGACTAAGGATGGGGTTTTTTGCAGCAGCAGCAGTAGCTGCGTCAGGATTTGGGACACTGGGCAGTTCGGTGCGATGGGAGGTGGGATGCCCCATTTTTGAGAAGGCTCACCTCAACCTTGGCCCTGCCACCCACTTGCTAATCTTGTTTCATACGGGCAGCGTTTCAATGTTGTGCTCGAGTTTGTGGCCCCCTCCTTAAATGGCATGAGGTGTTTAGATCTGGTCTATCAACATTCTTCCAAATATTCCCTCTGGGCATGAGAGCAGACTTTGCACCATTCTACTCGATGCATATTAAAGGCAATTTACACATTCCACGTGCCGTAATGCTTGCAAGTTTCGTTATCATTCGGGACATGCAATGACATACTGTATTAAGTTCTTGCTTACATATTGAGGTTTGTTATAAAGTATGCGTTTTTACATTGGAAGGTAAAATAAAATGCTTCTTTTGGATTTCCAAATGTCCAAGTTTTAGACGTCCCATCACACCACTAATGCTCAATCAATTGTCACAATCACAAAATTTGTGTTGAACGTTCTTACTTTTTTAATCAACCACATGTTGCTACGTAACACATTTTTCTCTCGAAATATTCCACTCCAAATGTTGGCGTAAATTAAGATTCGCGTTCTAACCCCACCGCTACAGGACCTGGCGTGTCCGCCTCTGCTGCAGCTGTGCTCCGAGCCAGGGGGCCGTGGCCGCTCTGTGGATCTGCGCGTCGACGTTCCGGACCTGGCCACTCTCACGAGTCGCGAGGAGCCAAGCGACGGCGTTGACCCCCGCAGCGCCCCGACTCTGGGACGCGTCGCCAGCGTGCGCGTGTGTGGCGGGGTGTGAGTAAGCCGCGCTGCCGTGCACGGGGGAATGTCCCAACATTCTCCACACCAACGGTGGCATCTGCATCTGTACCTTCCCTGGGCCCTCAACTTCAGCCGCCCCATTTTTCCTGTCTTTCTTGTATCCTCCACTTGACTCGTTATTTTTCCTTGGTTCACCATCTCTCGGGTCCTTCCTGGATGCATTTCTATTGTGCTTGTTGGGTTCTTTTCATCTCAGCTTCCTTGTTACCTGGGTACTCCAAAGCAAACTCATTTCCCCCTGGTTATTTCTCACCAACCATGTGTTATCTGAGTCTTCCGTCACATACGTCTTGTCCACGTCCACAATGCAGCTTTCCTAACTGGCTGCCTCCTTCCTTGTTGTTTTCCCCATGTCAGGTGGGTCGTATACCGTGACCCTAACTACCGCGGCCCGCACCGCGTGTTGGAGGGCCGTGGCTGCCTGGACGTGTGTGGGCCGGCCCCAGCATCTGTGCGGCGAGTGGCGTTCACTCTCGTCGGAGACTCCCCGAGCCCCAACCTTGAGACGGATCAGAGTCCAAAGCCGGGGCAGAGCCAGTTCGGTGAACAAAGCAGCGATGGTGCCACGACTCCCACCTGTATTCCCTGCGTTACTGTGCAAGGGTCGTCTCTCTAGTTCTATTTTCGCATCACAAAAGAAGTTTTATTTTTACATGAAGGACGAGTTGTAAATTGGGTATGCAAATAGCACATCACTCGGACTTGGGAGTGATGTATTATTAGCCTGTGGGCAGAGAGAACTTGGGTGGCTTTGATCAATTCACTGCCCATTATGCAATAAGGGTATTAAGCAACATAAGCATGTCACAAAGTCATTACGCTTATTATAAAAGGTCATTCCTTAGCAACTGATATGCTGTCCTGTAATTATGTATGATTTTGCCACATGAAGGGATTATTTTAAAAATGTATATTTCCCTTCACATGCACAGTATGCAAGCCTGTATTTTATTTTTGTCGATGCAGTTTACTTTGAGTGATTATACAAATACATGGCAGATACATACTTTTGCACAGTATTTGATTGTTATTGACCTATTGTTTAATAGTTTGCAGTGAGATGGATTTCAAATTAGTCTCAAATGCACATTTGGCAGACTTGGCTCAGAATAATACTGATTGTGTCCATGGAATTGAAGGACAATTAATACTAGGAATGTCTTGTTTTACCTTAATTTAGATGATGCAGCACATTGTGTTCAGATGTTTAATTTTAACACCACTGCATATTTGAAATACTTACATTTATTACAGTTTGTACAATACACACAAGTTCAACGTGCCCATAATTATTCCATTCATGCACATTTTGCAGGAGAATAATTGTACATCTTTACATTTGAAATGTTATGCATGAATGTGTTCCGTGCATATACTTTGATGTGAGACATTCTCATTATTGCACCTATTCAATAAAGTAATATAAAAATCAATATATTAGGGAAATTAAATGTTACAAAATACCTCCTAGTGTGTTAATGCATCACTATTAGACCTGTGAACATTTGTTCAACACTTAACCCTTTCCCATTCAAAGACGTCTGCAAGTTGCAGGGTGGCTCCCGTTCAACTCTGAATTACGGAAACGTACAAGTGGCTAGCGCCGTTGTTTTTAAAGACATTATATTCACCGCAGAGAACTGTTGCAACGCAACCGTGCTCTACAATAGCTGACGGCAAACTGTGCCACACGCCCTTCTGCACGGCCTTTTATTTTCGATTCTGGGAAAGGGTTGAGAGCCCTATAATACTATTCCCTGAAAAACATCCCCAGTACTTGTGCATCTGTTGACTGTTAAGTTTTACCAGGGGACTCACATTTACACATAAACTAGTCCTCATCTCCATCATCTTCGTAATCATCTTCTACAACCTCTTCTTCCTCATCTTCCTCCTCGTCTTGCTCTTCCATCTCCTGCTCGCACTGGTTCCCGAAAGGCATGGTGTCCAGCTGCAGCGCCATCCGGTTCAAGGAATCTGCGTCGTCTACGCATCTCCGTGTCTCCTGCACAGAACATACTCGCTGAGTATTTCCCGGGTCACGTGAATAGTAGCTACAGCCCTAGCGAGAGGTACAATGGATGTGGTGTGCGAAGTGTCAATATATTTTCTAAGTCACCGACATGGACAGAATCGTCTGAAAATAAACCCTGCACACTCACTCAGATGTGAAGGGGGGGGGGGGAGTTGTGTCTCCTACATATTAACATACAAATCCTGGTGCCACTCTGCAAGAGGACACGTCCTTGGTCTGCTGGTGGGGTGGCCAGGAGGAAAGAGTAGTCTCTCATAATGCCCATGTTCGCCCTACGAGGAACCCGAGTTCAATCTCGGCAAGTTTCATGATCTCCAAAAAGAGATAATTATGTAAATGTGATTACCTAATTCAGCCTAGTCCAGAACCTAACGAATATATATCACATCTAATATCACAAATATCACATCTGAGATATTACAAAACATGACACAGCACCCTCTGTTGGTTCACCATTGCCTGCCTCACATCAACACTGATCGCCTGACAGTGGAAAAAAAAGCCGAATACATTTTAGAGCCTCCCAAAGCAACCACCGATACGGTAACCTCAAAGGCACCGTCACGTAGCTTCAAGGGTCCGATCAGCAAACAACACTGTGTGACCCCAAGTAGCTGCTGGCAACTTTAACCCCTGGGCAGGGAGCGTGGGTGACGTGCCTCCTGGGTGGCGCACAGCAGCTGCAGGGCGCTGGGCTGAGGGGGCTCGCTCCCCTGCTGCTGGGCACGAATGGTCGCTCTCAGTGCCAGCTCCTCCACCTGGAGATCCCAGACACACAGCATTAACCGCCAGCCCCGAGTTAACCCATCAGCATTGTGTAAGGAGACCTCCTCCGTCACTTGTATACGCCGATCTACGTATAGCATTGATAATGAGTTCAACGTTTAACCTTCAGTCGGTTCAGCTGATCCTGGAACAGCTTTCTCAGCTCTAAAAGCGTCGTCTCCTCTTTCTGCAGCGCTTCCAATTCCATATTCATTGTTGCTCCTGTGCAAACAAGGAACGTTATTCAAGACTTGAACACAACATAACGTTATAGCTTTGCATCGAAAAGTCCCCAAGGTTGAATATGAGGCACCAAGCAGGGCACTTAGATGAAAATGTGCAAAACATAGTTTGTGCCAAATAAAATCCATTTCATTCCAAGGGATGCAATCCCACTTACACTACTTACAATTGTTGCCAGATCTATACAAATTTTCCACTCACGTGTGTACACGTACAACACGATTGGCTACGTACGGTGCGAAAGAAGTTGAACGTACATACAGTCTGCTAATTCACTTCTGGGTGAGGCCCTGCCTCCCCAAACTGGTCAGATCGTAGGGTTTATTTGAACATACCTCACCGGTCAGTGTGAGTTGGTTGACAGACTTGGGCGCATACAAGTACAGTACAGCAATTGATGTTTCTCCACCACGTAGCACCCCGGAATATAAAAAAAAAATCTACTACACATGGTAAACAATAATCCCCGATTCAGGACAACCACTGCCGAACGACCAACATAACATCTATTAACATTGCTTATCTTAAAACGTCAGAATGAATGTTTGATTGGGGGTGGGGGGGGGTCCACGTTGCTCAGCTTGCGCCTCAAGGTAAAGAGGAGCTCACAAGTGGCATTCCTCGACATTGCCACTCCCTAGAGAGCCACCACAAGCTGTCGAGTAAAAGCAGATTTACGATTGCGTATTTAAAGCGATACAAAAAACAATTGGACCTTTTTGCCAATATGAAAGTATAAAAATAAGAGTAGGTTTTCTTACCCTTTCTGGCAATAAAGCAGGTGTTAAGGTGGTCAGACACCCAATAGAAACCTTTTGCAAGGAATCAAGTCTGCATTAACCACAAGTACTTGTTGTGAACATGCAAACAAAACATGTTCTGGTCATATTTGATGCATTGTCTTCGAAACTGATTAGTCTACACCAGAGAGGAACAACCTTTTTTAGAGCCTCATGGTGTTTGAACATCTTCACATCTTTTGATTTAAAGCATTCGTGACTGCAGGGATTCATATTCTTGATGATGATTGCTTGTGTTGCAGTCGAAACGTCGTGATAATTGTTATTGTTTGATATTTTTATTATTTTATTATTTCCCTTCTACGTGACTTTACCGAAAGAACCAAGAATATCTTCATATCTGTTTTATTGCCGGGAAGGAGGGAAAACCCTATTCTTATATATTTTTTTATAGAGCGATGAAACTCCCCAGATACATGTACAGGGCTCTTACCTGCCCCTACTGGACATCTGTGTGCGGGGAGGGAAAGAGCTTTATAGCTCATCGGATTTCTCCAGTATCAATCAAAATTCTGATTCTTAGAATACAGAGGCGGGTCAGAACGTTACAAAGAATACAACAACACGGCGATAGGCGTGCAAAGTATAGGGAACGTAAGCAAATCGTTATGCGCTTTAAAGGAAATATAAACTCGTGTTGATCATCGCAACGCGTTGCAACTTACCATGCGCGACGCACTCGGCACGAGTTAGAATTCGGATATCGTTGAAGGGCGCATGGCTACTTACTTTAGAATCGGTGCTACAAGTGTCAGTCTTAAACAACAACAACAACAACAAAGTCAAAACAATCGGCGGTGTTACCGACGAAGCGGGCGAAACGCAACAACGTCAAGCCGCGCCTCAACAACTTGAAGGCAGCGGAGCCGCCATCTTACGTGAGGGTTGTTTGGTGGGCGTGGCCAGCGAGGGAGGTGCACCTAGCCTGGCACAGACGCCGCGGTGACGTCACCGCCACTTTAGTGGTGAATAGGTGGCAGTGTAATGACGTCATCCGCCTCTCACCGCGTGACGTCACGGGGTTTGAGCTTTTCCCTCGCCCCCCCCCCATCGCCCCTTACCAAGATGGCTTCCACATCCGTTGTCCGCGTTGCCGGAGCCGCAGGTGACGTCACGCGACCCCGCGTTTTGGTGGGTGAATCGATCCGATATCGATTACTCGGTGCGCTGGATTCGGAATCGACAGCATCTGAATATTTTCTTGAGCCAAACGTGCAATTTTAAGCACACTATTACACATTTTAGAAATGTAGATTTCGAAACAAAAAAGTAACAAAATGCAAGCATACAACACAAACCGAGGTACAATATAAATACAAATCGAAGACGTTTTACTCGGTTAAAAATCAAAATCAAAGGGTGACATTGTGAAAATTACAATCAAATTCGCGTCATAGCTCGTCGGATTCCTCCGGTGTCACCAAACATTATAATTCTGATATTCGCCCTGCAATGCTGTTCTAGGAAGTTAGGAAGTTATTCCAACTCAACGTATGGAGAATCGATTCTATGACCGGATTCGAATCGCGACAGGTGGCGTTGGAATCGGATGTTGACCCCCCCCCCCCCCCCACTGGTGACCTCTACCCCGGAAGAAGAAGCACGCGGCACCAGCGAGCGACGTGGATGTTTGGAGTCGTTCGATCCGCCTCGGCTGTCGCCCGGGAATTTCGCGGCGAGAGAACCGCGGAATCGATCACCCCCTCCCCTCCGCACGATCATCCTACTGTCCTCTTCGTCCTTCTCCCTTCCTCCTCCTCCTCGTCGTCATTGTCTGTGTGAGACGGCCACACAGGCGAGAAGTCCAGGGGGCATCGCAACCGCCTGTCGCAGGTAATGCGGACATCGTGGTTATGTCAGGGCTCTGTTTATGCCGGAGGCGAAGGCTGTGCCAGGGCTAGGGCTGTGTCTAGGATAGCCAAGTGGCAGGTCTAGGGCAGTGGAAGGTCTAGGGCTGTGTCAGGGCTAGGGTTGTGTCAGGGCTTGGGTTGTGTCAGGACTAGGGCTGTGTCAGGGTTAGGGCTGTGTCAGGGCTAGGGCTGTCAGAGCTAGGGCTGTGTCTGGGCTAGGGCTGTGTCTGGGCTAGGGCTGTGTCAGGGCTAGGGCTGTGTCAGGGCTAGGGCTGTGTCAGGGCTTGGGTTGTGTCAGGGTTAGGGCTGTGTCAGGGTTAGGTCTGTCAGGGCTAGGGCTGTCAGGGCTAGGGCTGTGTCAGAGATAGGTCTGTGTCAGGGCTAGGGCTGTGTCAGGGCTAGGGCTGTGTCAGGGCTAGGGCTGTGTCAGGGCTAGGGCTGTGTCAGGGCTAGGGCTGTGTCAGGGCTAGGGCTGTGTCAGGGCTAGGGCTGTGTCAGGGCTAGGGCTGTGTCAGGGCTAGGGCTGTGTCAGGGCTAGGGCTGTGTCAGGTCTAGGGCTGTGTCAGGGCTAGGGCTGTATCAGGGCTAGGGCTGTATCAGGGCTAGGGCTGTGCTAGGGCTAGGGCTGTGTCAGGGCTAGGGCTGTGTCAGGTCTAGGGCTGCGTCAGGGCTAGGGTTGTGTCAGGTCTAGGGCTGGGTCTGGTCTAGGGCTGCGTCAGGGCTAGGGCTGGGTCTGGTCTAGGGTTGTGTCAGGTCTAGGGTTGTGTCAGGGCTATGGTTGTGTCAGGGCTAGGGCTGTGTCAGGGCTAGGGCTGTGTCAGGTCTAGGGCTGCGTCAGGGTTAGGGTTGCGTCAGGGCTAGGGTTGTGTCAGGGTTAGGGTTGCGTCAGGGCTAGAGCTGTGTCAGGTCTAGGGCTGTGTCAGGGCTAGGGCTGTATCAGGGCTAGGGCTGTATCAGGGCTAGGGCTGTGCTAGGGCTAGGGCTGTGTCAGGGCTAGGGCTGTGTCAGGTCTAGGGCTGCGTCAGGGCTAGGGTTGCGTCAGGGCTAGGGCTGCGTCAGGGCTAGGGCTGCGTCAGGGCTAGAGCTGTGTCAGGTCTAGGGCTGTGTCAGGGCTAGGGCTGTATCAGGGCTAGGGCTGTATCAGGGCTAGGGCTGTGCTAGGGCTAGGGCTGTGTCAGGGCTAGAGCTGTGTCAGGTCTAGGGCTGCGTCAGGGCTAGGGTTGCGTCAGGGCTAGGGCTGCGTCAGGGCTAGAGCTGCGTCAGGGCTAGAGCTGTGTCAGGTCTAGAGCTGTGTCAGGTCTAGGGCTGTGTCAGGGCTAGGGCTGTATTAGGGCTAGGGCTGTATTAGGGCTAGGGCTGTGTCAGGGCTAGGGCTGTGCAAGGGCTAGGGCTGTGTCAGGGCTAGGGCTGTGTCAGGGCTAGGGCTGTGTTAGGGCTAGGACTGTGTCAGGGCTAGGGCTGTGTTAGGGCTAGGGCTGTGTCAGGGCTAGGGCTGTGTCTGGTCTAGGGCTGTGTCAGGGCTAGGGCTGTGTCAGGGCTAGGGCTGTGTCAGGTCTAGGGCTGTGTCAGGTCTAGGGCTGTGTCAGGTCTAGGGTTGTGTGAGGGCGAGTGCTGAGTCTGGGCTACCCATGTGTCAAGGCGAAGGCTGCGACAGGGCAGAGCTGTGTCACTGCTCGTGATGTGGCAGGGCTATATCTGTGTCAGGGCTAATCGGGCGTCAAGGTTAATGTTGTGTCAGGGCAGAGCTGTGTCAGTGCTCGTGATGTGTCAGGGTTAGGGTTGTGTCAGTATAGAGATGTGTCGGTGTTAGCCACGGGTCAGCAAGTGCTGTGTCATGACTAGGGTTGTGTGTGATGGGGGCTTGTGATTTGTCAAAGCTAGGATCGTGTCAGAACCAGGGGATTATGTCGATGGCAAACATCGATGTACTGTATGTGCCCGATGCCTGTGTCCGCTAGATATATTGTTGATTATAGGAATTAATTAAAGACCCGCCGAACTGAATGATGTCAGAATCACAACTTTGTTGACCCTTCCATCACAGTTGGACTTCTAGTAGTCTCGCGTCTGCACCCACTGATGCCTTCCCCTTGGGCCAACCGGTGCCATATAGGGGTTCAGTCTGCAGCAGGGCTTATTAAGAGTCTGCTGAATCAGTGTTTTTTACTCTAATATTGACACTGCCCTTGAAGGAATGTTTCACGGCTGCAAGCCCTGTGGCTACGCCTTCAACGCACAGACGGCATTCATGTAATTTGCACTCTGGATGACAATGAAGAGCGTGATATGTTTAATAAGATAATCTATTGTTTGCAGCCCTTTCTAAATCCGCTACTCGATGAAGGCCTTCCATGCTTTGTAAGTCCAGGGTGTTCGTTGACATACTTAAACATGCTGGTCAGTGCAGATTGGTAAAGTGGCAGACTCAGGATCACTGGTATTAACCGTGGCTCAGAATCAACGTAGGTTTCTGGATTCATACCAGCACTCCATATCAACACTCCACCCACACCAGACACTTATTGACACATATTAGCTACAGCTGCATTACATCACTTGATTTTAGTTCCTCCTACAATAAGATGTTTCTGCTGTTGGTCTCATTTACGTATAAATACTGCATTTGCCTCTGTCGCAATAAAATCTTTAGCCACAAGGCCTACTGTAAATTTACATAAAGTAATGCTCAACAATAGAAAATAACAATGTAGCACAGACGTATTCAATTTAAACTTGGTACCTTTTAGTTTCTTTATACGATATTCGAATTATTCTGTTGGTGTCTTTTCATTAAATGGAGACATCGTAGCTAGGAGTGCACCACCTTGTCAGAAAACACCCGAGAAGACAACATCGAATTAATGATGAATTCCTTTAAGCAAGCATCTTTATCCAGACGAATGGGCAAACCTTTATTTGGGATAATCTCTGATGAATAAAACCAACATTTTTCTTATTTTTGGTGTATAAAATGTAAGGAAAAACACAATTGAATGTTATGGTGTTTTTCTGTAGTAATTGGTGATCTGACTTCGACCATCTGCTCACAATACCTGAGAACCTCGTATAATAAAGGTAACTGCCAATATTTCATCTTGAGATCAGAGGGCTCTGACATGGGACTATCTCATGAAACCACCCGGCCACCTCTATAGCAATGATGTCTTCTGATCAAAGAGCATTCATAATTTAACATTTAAAGCACTTAACAAAAAGATTAACATTCAACCTGGATATTAAGAACAAGTGATCATGCTCTTCTCTTGCAATCTCACAGCGTGTCCATCCGCACGCGTATGTGCACGAGAGACTCGTATATTTGTCGCCAACGTGAGAATTGCCGTATCGTTTTTTACGTGATCACGTATGCGTGAGCCCCGTAAACCCTTGCCAACATTAAAGGCGCGCGCTGCCCCCTGCCAGGGCCATGCTGTGGGGGAGCGGGTGATCGCACGCAGCTTCTATCATGGGGGCGCAAAGCAGCAGCATCAGCGAGCTGACGGACAACGAGTACCTACGGCGTCTCGCCAGCGCCGAGCCCGTCTCGCACAACGATCCCTTCTGGAATCAGCTGCTCTCCTTCTCCTTTGCAACACCCACCAACAGGTAGACGGCGCTGCACCCATACAGCTTATCCCCCTCAGCTGATGTCCCTGGAACTGGGTGAGGCGTGTAAAGATTTTCATTGGCTAAAGAAAGGCCAGTTTAGAGTTTCTCTTACTTGAGGGAGTTCTAAAAATGCCATGTTCATCACACCTCCGCTTATGTTAATAAGACGACAGGTTTTTGCAGTGTCAGATTGTTGCACAGATATTTGCATTAGGTGTACTTTTTGATATTTTAATGCATGTTTTTTGCATTTGAAGTGCTTTACAAATAGATCTAATCTTAATTTTGGAGCTTTCAAATAGAGTTGCATTGGGAAACTATCAATCGTCACTGGGATAATGATATGGTTAATTTTGTTATCTTTTAAAGTGTTTTTTTAAATAACTGTTTCTTTATAGAGCTTGCTTAAAATCTATACAGTTCTGGGAATTAGCACTGAGAATCATTCATTCTGGCTCCATTACAGCCGAGCTCTTTTAACTGCCTCCTGAGTTCATAAATGTCGGCTTTGAACAACTTATCCAGATCTTCCTTAAAAAAGAGATGATTAGTCTCAATGGGCCTCTCATCTAGTTTTACTTAATTGATCATAATTTGCCAAATTTGAAGAATTACTCGCAATCATTGCCCTGCACTCCAAAACAACTTGCCAAGACCCTCCTGAAAAGAGTTATGAGACTCCCTGGGTGAACAAGCATAATAATAATATTGAGCTATTCTTGACATAGGCATGATATAAACACCAAGCTGGCACACATTAGTTTGAGAGGTACTGGCTGTACTTTGATAAATGTTAGACCTCTAAATAAGGTCAATCAGAGGTTTAAAAAAATCATGTCCAATGTTTAGACCATGTTATTGGGTGTTATTGTATTTTATATACAACTCAGTTTTTTATTTTAATTTAGCCACGATTGACTTGGTGACGGAAACAGATTTCTATGCATTCATTAGTTGATTTTGTTTAGCACTCAAGCAGTCGCTGCTGGAATGTGTATTTTTTGTGGATACTGGACTGATGGAGGCTCTCTTCCAGTTTGAAAATCAAAGTTGATTATTTTGTGTTTGAAGGATATCCAATTTTTCACATTAAACACGGTTTAATTTCACTTCTTGGCTTTACACAGTTCGGATTCCAGACTTCTGGAGGAAGCCACGGAATCAATCTGCAAGAGCCTGAGTAAGTCACCCATGTAAATGTCACAGTGCTTGATCAATCAGCACTTGTGTGCACGACGTATCCATGATTTTATTATTTACTACATTACTTTTACACTTGAATCAACCAATGCCTGAATGATTTTTTTTTGTACAAATTAGTGAATTTTTTTGTAAAGATTGAACAGTTACATGGCGATTGCATGAAAAATGTTACAAAATATGAGCAGGAGAAGAGATAGGCAAGGGGTAACAATCTCCCCGAGAATTTTCACAGTGATATATGATATTTTCAGAAAATTGGATGGCGAAATAAACGCAGAAACATGAATATCAATCATTTTATATATAGCAACCATTGGTAATGAACTAAATAACTTCACAATGAAGGCTGCAAAGTTGGGCATGGAGAGATGAGCTCATCTGCAAGAGTAAGATGGATTGTGCCATAACATACTCTTAGTTTTTTCGGTAAAGTCATGTAGGTAAAAAAATATTAAATAAAATTAATAAAAATAAAATAATAATAAAAAGTGAGGCTACTTGATACAGCAAATCTGGCTGTGACGGTCCCACCTGATGACGGAGACTTGTGTTGCCTCCGAAACGTGATTTTTATTATTTTATTTTTATTAAGTTTTATTTCATTTTTTTACCTACGTGACTTTACCGAAAAAACTAAGAGTATGAATCCTTGCAGTCACGAAAGCTTCAAATCTAGAATTGTGCCATAACACTTGTGAGAGACGTGGATGGCGATGGGAAGTCTTTATCCAGCAATGGATTATACCGTGACTGATGTTGATGATGTAAAAATAATGAGTGAGATGAAATTATATTAAAATAAACAGTGTGTTCAAACCTCTGGGAAAAAATTCATCCATTGGGATTTCGACCTTCTATTTTAAGAAAAGTAATCATAGACCGTTTTGAAATTTACTGGGTCTCGTTATAAAATAGTCACCCCATAAATAGAGTTGTAGCAATGCACAGCTTTTGTTGATTAAGCCCTGTGAAACGTGCCTGATTGAAATGAAGAAGAAATGCCACAGTTTTAACAATTACTTCTTTGTGCAGTCATTGCTCACCAGGCTATGATTGAATGCTCACTATACATGAGAACTTGGAGGTCAAATTCCAGAATTCGATGGTGGTCAAATTCAGTTTGGTTATTTATAAATTCTACTTATTTTATGAAGCATAGATGTGAGAACCACAATCATGTCTCATGCATAATGTTCACTTCGTTTTGCTTTGTGCAGTAAACAACAATCCTCGCACGGGAAACTTTGCCGCGCTCGTGAATGTATTCATCAGCAGAACCAAAGAACTGAAAATCTCTGCAGAATGCCAAAAGTGAGTACGCAGTGATCCGCAGTGTTTTATATTTCAGTTTACACTGATCTATAGAGCCACACCAGGTTTTGCCAGTTGCCAGTGGCCCCAATGAGTCTGACTTCTGATTGCTCACACATTGTGAAGTCAATCTTAATTTTGGAGCTTTCGCGACTGCAGGAATTATTCTTTGGTTTTTTCGGTAAAGTCACGTATAAAAATAAAATAATAAATTAAATAATAGCATACGACGTTTCGATTGCAACACAAGCAATCATCATCAGGTATAATGAAATAGCGACATAGAATATAACCAGAAAACTATAGACAGACATATAAGCAGACAGATATCACCAAGATACATAGAGAGAGCAACCCAGGTACAGAGACGATCACCTCTCTCTGTACCTGGGTTGCTCTCTCTATGTATCTTGGTGATATCTGTCTGCTTATATGTCTGTCTATAGTTTTCTGGTTATATTCTATGTCGCTATTTCATTATACCTGATGATGATTGCTTGTGTTGCAATCGAAACGTCGTATGCTATTATTTAATTTATTATTTTATTTTTATACGTGACTTTACCGAAAAAACCAAAGAATAATTGTGAAGTCAAACTTGTTAGTTTTTATATTTAAAGTTGAGACTAAAAGAGGGATTATTTTTTTTGTTTCTATTTAAGCAGTTGAGCACTCAGTTCCAAAAATACTTAACCGTTGACCTTTTGTTCAACTCCAGTTTAAACGCTGACGTCTTTGTTTGCACATTTTTCTGAGAAAATCCCTTCAAATTGACTAAAAAGTAATACGGCAAACATGATCTACAATGAAATGCCATAGTGCTGTCAGTCCACAGACGCTGTATGCACACTAGACAAACACTGAGCGAGCGTCTGAATTATGGGATGTGTGTGCACGTCATGTTGTTCAGGGGAGTGGTAGTGTAGCAGTTAGCGTGCTGCTCAACGAACCCGGCGACCCGAGTTCGATTCCCACTCACGACCAACACCAGCAATGATTATTTTAACCTGTCCTGGGCCTCCCCTAGGTCGACTCAGCCTCAAATAAGTACCTGGTGTGATGTGTAAACATCGCCATGAGGGAGACAAAGGCGGTCGGGCGTGGTGCTGGTCACCCACCCACCCCCTCGTGTACCGTTTCAGCCTTAATGGGTGCTACTCACTAACAGCACTTGACCAAAAAGTCTGTTAAGGCTACAATGGGGGAATCTTTGTATTTTTGTTGTCGCCACTGCCGTCCAATCCTGCTTTCCGGTCTGTTCCCTGTTCCCCCTCCTACCAGTGAGCTGTTTATCTGGCAGGCGCACAATGCCCTGTTTATTGTGCGCTGCCTCATCAAGGCACTCCAGAGCCACACGAGCGAGGAGGAGCTTACGATGCACTTCACCTACAGCCCTGTCACTCCAGGCTCCTGCCTAGGTGAGTCGTCATCTCCTGGTTAAATAAAGGCTACTCAAGATTATTCGGATGCTGGTAATGCCCATTCATTTGAAGGAAGGCATGACCCAGCAATTTAAAAGGTCTCATTTTGGAAGTAGCCTTTGATCGCTTTGCCTGAAACGCACCTGATTTTGTCAGATCTTGGAAGCTAAGCAGGATTGATCTTTGTATCGTGCTTGGATGGGCGACCACCGTGTGTAACATGTTGTTATAGGCAGTGGAGCTGCCGAGATGTTAACTACCTCGTCTAGTATATAGGAACTCGTGGGTTCATTCCAGACCCTGACGTCTGTATATTTGGAGTTTGCATTTTTATCCCCATGGTCACGTGCATTTTTTTCTCCGGGTCTTCCCGTTTTTCCCTCCACATTTAGAAACATGCATTTCAAGTAATTGGCTACTATACATTTGCACGTGATAAGCAACTTCGTTGAGCTATTATTTGTGGCCAGGTGGCTTCTGAAAGCGAGCTATGTAGCTCAGTGGATCTTATCTGGTGAAAAAAATATTTTAGTTTTTATAGTTGTGGGCAGCAGAGAGCTCATACTCAGCACAACAAAATCGATTATTATCCTGTGCTCCTGCATCTATGTTCCCCACTTTTACCAACCCGCACTGACTAGTGTAGCAAAGTACGGTCAAATAATCCCACCGACTCACATGGCGTGCGGAGGCCTTCCAGCAGTGGCTTGACAAAGGGCTGAGTACATGTACACACAAGTTGTCACTTAAAAACTGTGAATTGGGATAAGCCTGTTTCCCTTCACATTCCAAACATAATTAAAATACCTTCAATGACAAGACGGTTAGGATTCACTCTGCTCTGTGCCTCGTGTCCTGCAGAAAGTGAAAGTGAAGGTGGCTCTCTGCTGGAGGACATGGTCTTGCACCTTATTCACCTCATCATTGAAGTACCTCTGCTGTAAGTCACTTGAAAATTGTGGCTAATTGCTCAGATGTGAGGTTTATGCCATGACAAACACACTGACCTCCGTACTATTCTGTAGCGTTTGCTAATTTCTTCTGCATTCCCATGACAGCTGCCCAGTTATTTATACTGCTAATTATTACCAAATTTATTCTGTAACAGTCATTTTAATTGACCCGTGATGTCATCATTCACAAGCGATAATTTAGCTATACGACCAGTGTCATAGGCCAAATCCAAACTAAATGTTCTCGTATTAAAAGTACAATTATTTTGCTGTTCAGCTATGGTTACTCGAATGTAACCTGCAAATATACTTAAAGTACTAGTAGCTCTACAGTGATACGGTTCCTAGTTGGCCACTTGCAAGTGCATGAAAGGATCTCAGTATATCTCACTTGAATCAAGGACATGAATCAGTGAAAATTATAACACGGCGGCTTGTCTAGAAATATTCCATGAAAATTAAAATCTACAAGTCCCATTGGAGGCAGATGACTGCAGCAAGGTTGAAGTTTAACCACTTGAGAGCACCTTCACTTGCAGATACAAAACAGGACCGTTAGGGGGCAGCTGCTGCACGGCCAACGGCTGCAGGGTTGACATTTGGCATGCGGCAATACATTGATTAATAAGGATAACATATTACTACCATACATGCATTGAATTGTTTGTGTGAGAGTGACTATTGAAATTATATGTATTTAATATGCTAATGTTACGTTTAAGCTCATGGCATGGACATAACTATAAACACAACGGAAGGAACTAGAAACAAGATTGACCCTGAATTGCAATGGTTTATCGAATCGCTAGGGTAATTGAATCTTTACGTGCAACCTGCGCTTGGTGATGGGTGTCCTTTCAGAGAGTCTAATGAGTGGACAGAGTGTGCTGGTAATCGTACAGTATTGGGAAGACAATGTACGGTAACAGCATATTGTGAAGCCAGATGGACATGATATTATAGCTGGAATTCACATTATGCCATGAGAAATTTAATTGGAACCGAATGGAAAGAACTGAAGCCATTGAGGTCATGTCCTGCTAAGCATTACTGGTCGGTGGTGCGGTGCTGAGTTTTGGGGGTGGCGGCTCGTGGTGTATAGTGGGTGCCATGGGGTAGTGGTACCAATCCTGTTTGTGCCCCCCAGGGACATCACGTACTGCATTCACCTGGAGGCGGTTACGACGTTGATGGTGCTGCTGGCGGCACAGCTGCACCAGCGGCACGTGGTGCGGGATGGGCCCCTCTACTACCTCTTCACGCAGGGGCGCAGGTGAGTGGGCACTAGCCTAAACATAAGTCATTCACCAAATGCAGTCCAATTACATAGCAGGGCACTGTTGGCATTCACTTGGGTGGTTTAATTAAATTTTATATACGCTATATTAGGATCCTTCAATTATATTTTCCAGTGTACCTCCGATTAGCACGGTTGGCTATGTACGGTGCAAAAGAAGTTCACCATACAAACGTGGCATCGTAATGCCATAACATCTGTACATGACCTACAGATCTGTACCTCTTGCCTCCAGGTCTCTCTCACCTTTGTCTCTTGTTTCTCTCGCCTTCATATCGCTCATTTTCACCTCTTGTTTGCAAGTTTGTCATCTGTCTCTTGTTTGTCACTTTTTCATCTCACTAATCTGAACCATATTTCTTGGCACACCATAGCTCTGTTGGTCATTCTATTGGCCTTCACAGGCTAGATGTGACCCAGTTGAAGAACCCTGGTCTGTGTCAAACACATTCGAGCTTATTGCGTGAGGAAGTTGAACAGAAAATATATGTAAGAATTGCACCCACATGTATAATGGGGCGTGTCTGTCGATGCATCAACTGCGAGGCTGGATTGGTGGATGCCATGGAGATGGAGCTTATTGTGCTGGAGAAAACCACATGCAAGGCAGTGAGATGTTTTTAGGAGGCAGTGCAAAAAATAATCTTCACAGCACTTAAATGTTTTTCTTGTATGTGTGAGCTTTTTCCATGCATTCCGGTTTTCTGCCACCCACAAAAATACTCAAAAAAAGGAATTTTGCCAACCGCTCACAGTGGGGCCTTCCTGTAAAAATAGTTTTGAGATGTATAACATTTTATTTTCTGGGTAAACAAAAAATGTTTGTTATCGGTTGCAGTTTTTTTTTTACTTTCTATAAAAATCGTTCTTCGTGTTGGCTGTGTAATTAAGGAAGCGTTTTTTGCAATATCTCCACGTGGACACGTGTGTGCAGCTGTGAGCTGGCCAGCCGCCTGGTCAAGGCCCTCATGTACCACTTCATCAGGCAAGAGCGATGTCCCCCCCACATCAGCAGCCCCAGCGCCCATGCCCGGGGCAGCGGCCTCCTCTCGGGACTTGCCTGTACGTCCACCGAACCCTCGCGGTCTTTTTTGTTTCATTACGTCGCTCGTTGTGCGTTGCAACAATATACGTCGCTTCAACTACATGGGTTTTCGTGGCTGTGCTGAAGAATGAACGGATGTGTTTTCGCGTTGTGCCGTGTGTTGTTCTGCTGTGCGTACAACCTAATAACACATCAGAAAGTGATTGATCGATTTCGACGATTAATGTCTATTTCTATTCTCACCACACATGTAATGAATAATGCCTGTGAAAATTGATCGCTTATAATTTGTGAATTATATGTACATGTTACATTAAGGATTATGGTGCAAGCAAGGCTGAATAAATGCGACAGAATAAAAGATAAATTATACAAAAGAGATCGTAAAAGCAAATCTTTCATTGAATGGAATCGTGACAGTTGGAATCACTGGAGGCCAGAGAATCATTGTTGCCCATTGTTGAACGTGTATATTGTAGGTTTTGAAAAATTATGCTCGTTGGTTTGAGGTTCATATCCTGGCTCGCTCCCTATGATCAAACCAGCGTCCCAAGGATAGTGAATTGGTACTCACGATTTGGTCATCAGTGACTGCAACCATACACCGTCGCATACAATTTGATTTTATGTTGATGCTTTTTAACTTGACTGCTTAGGACTAAATTACATAAATAAATCAGTGAATAATGCACAGAATTACCACCATTATAGAGCACAAAGCAGCATTTTCTTATTTTGGGGATAGGATAAGCCTATGGAAATGATGCAGGAAGTAGTTCTGTGGTAGATTCATCCGGGCCAGTCCCTGGCATGATGTTGACACGTGACAAGACCGATTGTACAATCGGAATGCAATTGGTCGTAGAATAAAAAAAACAGGTTAAGTCCTCTTATGGATAAGTTGATGGGGTCTTTATTACTTATACATGAAGATAGCTTCTGTTAATAATTGTCCTGTCATCTTTGCCTTCCACCAAACTAATGTTAAATCTGCTTATAGATGTCACAGAGGTCGACTTTTGTGCTAAATGTGGTGAGTGGACTCCACTTGCGCTCTAATGCTGCATGCGAGCTTCGTTTATAATGAGATGATTCCACAGCGTGGTAGTTGCAGCTGTTTGTGGACTGCTAGCGGCCGTGTTTACTAAAGTGCTGAATTTGTTACAATGTCTATATTCTACAATCGTTTTTGGTGGTGCCTTTGGCACAATTTTGTCACTGCGGCCGTGTGCACAGCGGGTCTCAGAATGACAAGGTCAACAAACCCCGTGACTGGCACGAAGAGGGAGGCTTTTCATGAGTGTATTATCCAAAAATAATGTTCATACACATGGTGGAAGCTAACAGAAGTACATAAATCACATAGAAAATATACACAGCAATGCATGTTTAAAAAAAAGCAGAATGATGGACAAGCAACCTTCATGATCATTAATAGTAGTATGATGATACAGTAATTTGAAAATATTGCAATTCAGCCGTCGTTAATAGATATTGTACTGGACAATCATAATGGGCCATGTCGTGTGTTTGCCTGCTTTCCAGGTCAGGTTACCTCCCTCTCTTCATAAAGACTTTTTGTTGAGAAATATTATTTTTTTTTGCTTTTGTGTATTGCTGATTCTTGAACTACTTTGTGTTGCTCGCATTATGAGATAAATGACAAACATCAATAAATTAATAGTTTTATATAGATATATGTCGTGTTGTTATTTTCTTTCTCTTCAGCTGGACTGTGGACCGTGCTGACGTTGGGCGGTGCGGCGTCAGGCGGCAAACTGGCCGCCCCGCAGCAGCACGCTGAGGGGTCCTCGCCGCTGGCCAATCAGAGCCTCTTGTTACTGCTGGCGCTGATGAACCTGAGCGAGACAGAGGAGCAGGCCAACCCATATCGCCGAGCGCTCTTGTCCTTCCACAACACGCAAGGTGTGCAATTCGATTAGCACGCTTGGCTACGTACGGTGCGAAAGAAGTTAAACTTGCATACAGTCTCAACTGCCACACTCGCAGCCAGGTGGAACGCGTTGGAATTCGGTGTCGGTATTGCACGTAAACTTTACATCTCCTTAGGTGCCCATACATGTTATGTGATGTAAATTCCATTGTCAGTTTATTGCCGGATGAAAGCCTCGCCCATGCTACATCGGTCATGGGGGGTGTTTTTACCGTACTTCACCACGCTTCGCGATCACCATGCTTAGGTCATTACAGGTTGTTCTAGGCTGTGGCGTTATGTTGCGGCCAGCATTGTATCCATATCCATTCTACTCTGTTTTTATGCTCCCACGTCAACGCTCCCCACCTCCCACGCTTAATGCAACCCACACAGACGAACGCAGTTAAAGTATGGTCAAAACAACCCAAATGGCCGACACGGTGTGGGGAGGCCTTCATCCAGTTATTGGATTGAGACAGATTGCTGTACATAAAACAAAAATACATTTGATTGGCCGAATAATTGACCCGAGGTATTTTTTGACTCGACCTGAATATCATAACAGACAAAGCGCCGCAGGAGCAGCCCACATTCCAGATCAACTTCAACAGCCTGTACACGGCGCTGTGCGAGCGGCAAGGCACCGACGAGGCCACTCTCTTCCTCTATCTGCTGCTGCATCAGAACACCAACGTGCGCACTTATGTGCTGGCACGCACCGACACCGAGACGCTGGTGAGACACACGCACGCACGCACGCAAGCACGCCGCCCGGAACGTGCACAGCAATCGCACGGTCGATCGCTCGCAATGACATGGTCGGGAGGTGGAGTCGTAGGAACCATGGTACAGTCTAACAGGGCGTAGATTTTGCTGCAGTCCCTTTCAGTGCCCACGCCATAGCCACATAGTGGCATCTAACACCCGTTCTGTGTGTCCCAAGTGCTGTCCAGGTTCAGTCCTTGCTTGGCTTCCGCAATTTCGCGAATTGGGTGCATTCCAGCTGATCTGGCCACAGGCGAATTTTTAATGTATTTCAGATTCATTTGTATTCATAGAATACTGGCGATGGTGACAGGTGGATCACGGGAGGTCACGAGGGGTCGAGTTTGGGAAATCGTACGATGCTAAATTATTACACCTACTCTTTCCCGAGCAAAAATATGTAATGATTAAACGGGCAGTTATTTCGTAGATGTTAACTTGCTGTTTTTTTGTAACCTGTTTAAGCCGTATAATAGCCCACTTTTTTATTGGAGCATTGAAGAAACATGTATTCTAATATACTTGTTGTATGTGTGTGTATAAAATGCTTTGTTAGTGAAAAGTGGTAGTGTAATGGTTAGCGCGCTGCGCTACGAACTCGGTAACCCCATTTTGACTCCCGCTCACGGCCAACGCCAATGACGATTTATTTGAACTGGTCAAGGGCGACTTGGCCTTAAATGAGTACCTGGTGCAATGTGTAAATGTCGCCACTAGGGAGACAATGAGACAAAGGCGGCCAGGCGTGGTGCTGGCCACCAACCCTCTCATGTGCTCTGGTGGCCTTCATAGGGGCTCGTGCACAGCACTTGCCCCTACAGTCTCTTAATGTGCTATACAGGGGGTTCGGGGGCGGTCTTTGTCTTCTAATGCTTTGTGGTTGCTGGGGTTTATTTTTGTGTGCGACAGGTGCTGCCCATCCTGCAGACGCTGTACCACGCCGAACAGAAGAACTCGCACCACGTGTACATGTCGCTCATCGTGTTGCTCATCATGAGCGAGGACGACGCGTTCAACTGCTCGGTGCACGAGGTGGTGAGTGTGTGCGCCGCCACCAAAGTGCTTTTTTAATTATTCATTTCGGTTTATAATGGCCGCAAACCCAGCAACTTCACTGAAGCTAATTACAGTAAACCAAAGCAGCGCTGTTTTTATTGTTCCTTAATACTGGTACATTATTGCACTTCACGTGAAATTTAAACAGCAGCAGGTATGACAAGGGAGGACCAATCAAGGCCAATTCCTTTAGGTCAGCTGGCTATCGCAAAATATTTTGTTTATTTTTTTCATAGTTTTGTTTTTATTCTCACTTGTTATCAAAAATTATATGTGGATCACAAATGCCCAACCCAGCATCCACAGTTTGAGACACAATTCATCCTTCCAGCCCCTCTGTGTACAATACAATTATAATTCAGCTTTAAATTATACAGCATCTCATCTCAAGATGCTGTTGTGAGATATCGCCATGCCAACAAACTTCCACAAGGGTGCCACCCCAGAACAACTTCTGATCTTTCTACCGATGGATACCTCATATACAACCAACACAAGACACCTTCCAATATCACATTCCGTCCATTTATAATAATTTTTCACGATTGTGTGCCGACTGTCGCATGCACTCTCTCGTGTGTCACAGATGCTGAGGAACGTGCCGTGGTACACAGAGCGCGCACTCTCCGAGATCTCCCTGGGCAGCCTCCTCATACTGGTCGTCATCCGCACCATCCAGTACAACATGACGCGCACGCGGGTCAGTCGCTCGTGTGTGTGTCACCACGACCGATTTTATCGGAGCCCCCCACTTGCCCCCCCCGACTTCCTAGTGCGATCGCTCTGAACTAGTGCCAACGCGACAGGGCCTTGTGTGCATGCTGCAAAAGCAACGATTTCCGTGCACAACTCCGGTTCTCAAGGGCCGCCAATGTCTTCTGGTTTCGTTCCAACTGAGCTCTCTGTTTCACACGTAGGTTTTAGCAGCCACTGGTAATCCAAGTGTGGTCTTCCGCTGTCAGCCACATGTTGAGCGTTTCTTCATTCAAAGCTTCGGTGAATGCTTGAGAGAAGACTGAATTTGAGCTCTCAGTTATCGAATTGAACAATTAATTTCATTCACAGTTTTATGAAGTGTACGTTTGTTCATAGTTTTTAGCTGTAAAGTGGTTGGAGATTTAATTTATAAATAAAACTTTGAAGAATGCAGCCATCGAAGACCAAAGTTGTGCACTCTTGCATTAAAAGATTTGCAACATGCTTCAGCCTCGTTTAGGATATTCATTCATTCACACCCATTTACAAGTGTATTGAAAATACTTTAGTGGAATATGGTTATGTCTGTGAGCTCTCTTTGTTCGTCTGCTTTACTGATGAGCCATTTCAAGAAAGAAGCTTGTTCGTTTCCCACACTATGAACTTTATTTAAGATCTGTCAATAGCATTGAGCTGTATTTGTCAGAAGGAACAAAGTTACTTTTCTTTCGTGCTGCCCTCACAACTTATTATATTTCGGGAACACATCTTGGCGGTTTGTGTGTCCCATGAGCCATGCAATATTACTCTGTCCACTGCTCTCCAATGTCCCCCATGTCTCCTACATCCTCACTCCTCCCCCCCGCCCACCGAACTGGCACCAATCGCTTCCTTTGTTGTGACGGCAGCGCCGTGCGGTGGCGCTCAAATGCCAGACGGCGGCGCAACTCTCGTAACATTCTCTTCCACCCCCTGCTCCGCCCCCTGTCCTGATTCATCTTGTTGAATCCCTTACACTGGGAGGTCATATTGGTAGACCCTATTTTTTTTATCGGCACAGCTGTAAATCGTTATCTAAGCAAAATTATGTGAATGTTTTTTCGTAAAATACGAAGAGTGGTATCCAGATACGGTGCTTTAATTCGGAGAACCATTCCGTTTGCATGTGAGTACATGTGTAATATAGCTTTTGGTGCCTTTTCATCAATGTGTTGTTTCCATCGTGTGACTGTAGGACAAATATCTGCACACCAACTGCCTGGCTGCCCTCGCCAATATGTCTGCCCAGTTCCACTCGCTGCATCAGTATGCTGCCCAGCGCATCATGAGGTTCGGCCCTGCTGCTCATTGTAGTGTATTCAGTGCCTCGGATGTGCCGCTGCTTCTGTTCAGAATGAACAATGACACCGCATGTGTGGATGTTGCCGTAGCCAGGTGTGGTGGTGATGCACGTCTCTAGTCTCCTGTCTTAAAGGTCAGGTTTGTGAATCACTCGGAGGTTGTGAGCTGTTGTTGTTGTGAGATTATTGTGAGCATGAGCCATCTGCTCTATCCTCAATGAACATATTGAAATGCGTTGGCGTTTAAACGCGATGTAAATCGAAATTGTATGGTATTTAGCTAGCAGCACATCAAGTAAGTTTCTGTGATTTAGAGTTAGAACAGCCCATTGGACATGCATGAATTTTTATCTCAAGATGCAAAATAAAAAAAATACTTAACAAAGGAATTAGTCATTTATTTAAGACATTGCTTTATAATCCCAAATTAATTTACGCCAAGTTGTGAAGCTTAAGGGGGATGATTCAAAATAAGTGCCATTTATTCTAATCAGGTTTGGAAAAACAAAAGTATTAATCCTATGTATCAACCTTTCCAAAAAAAACATTCCCAAATTGCAAACAGGAAAACATGCATATGTTGTATATATATATAGATGCATGGATGCATTTTGAATGTAGTGAATACTTTTTTAGATGAAGTAAGCAATGCTTGACAGATTCTATCCAGTAACAGTTAAAATCAGGAACAAGCTTTCAAAAACAACGTATTAATCACCGCACACAACGCCAGCGGTAGCTGTTGAAGGGAAACAATGCCGAATTAGAAAATGGGAACCTACTCAACTCAAACAAATACATTTCAATATGTGTAAGCCGAGCTATTTCTCTCACTACTTTGGAAAAGTCAATAAACACGGAGGCTTTCAGCAGCTTTGGGATAATTAGCGTCACAACCCCTGGTGATCATCACATGAACGGCACACCACTCATGCGACAACTTGAGGTGGCGACGGTGGTGGAGGTGGTGACGATACTAAAGGAATTCCACAGCCAGCTTTCAGTTTATTTTAGACACCGTGCATGGGAATAACCTTCAGAAGAGAGAGAAAAAAATATCCAAAACAACACAAGATCCGACTTGGCTACTGTCGGACTGTTGAGCCCTATGGAGGGTCATGTTTCCCTGTTGCCATGACCGTTATGTTGAGGAAATCTCATTCTTTGTGCTTTTTAAAGGATATTCAGGGCCGTGGCGTGCATCCCGTTTTGGAAGAATAAAAAAAACGACTCCAGTCCCCCTCACTCTTGTCCTACATTGTCCAGTTTTATTGCGGGAGAAGTCTCTTTTAAAGCAGGGTGCATCTTAAGTAAACACTCGCTCCTTTTCTTCGCAGTGAATGACTGACAATTCAATTATTTGTATAAAAACATTTCACCCAAAAAGTAGTAACGCATGTGCACGCGTGTTTGTGCGTGCGTAAATGATTATATACACATGTGTGTTAGCGCATGTAAATATACATGTTCTCCCTTTCTTTTGCGGCAGTGTTGGGGTTCTTTTTGTTTATACGCTCTCGTAAACACAAAAGCCCAAGTTTGGCCTGTACTGTCGCCCACGTGACTACTGCGCCATGCAATAATGGTTCCCGCAATATGTCAATACTACACTTTATCATGACGATCTAAGGATAATCATTTAATCTGTTTTATCATCGTATTATAACTCCTTTATTAAAAAAGTCGTTTTTGCTGACACATTTTAGGCAAAATAACTTTAGGTTATAAATATCTGTACTATCGATTTAACAGGCTTGCTTTTACTGCACCACGACTGAAAGAAGGCCTAGACTATTATAGAGGTAGCTTTCATGATTTATATCTTGCGTTACTGGCAACTATAAAGTTATGGCAGCCTTGTATTGAGTGATCTGCAGCTGAAGAACTTTAGGTAATCTTTGTTCATACTGAACTACAGAATAGCACAAAAACACTTCAACAAAAATGTGAAATGCATATGCTGAGTGATGGGAAACTGACATCGCGATAATTGTCGTATCACGAAAATTTACATCGTATCATATTGTATCTCGAAATTTGGTATCGCGGCAACCCAACGAACGATGCGATGGTCGTGTTGTATCGTGCGCGGTTTGACGAGCAGCCTCCTGGAACTGCTGTCACGGAAACACAACAAGGTGCTGGAGCAGGCGACACAGATGCACGGCGCATCCCTGGGCGAGGACGGGAGCCCCTCGCTGCCCGACTACGTGAGTGCGCACTCACGTGCACCCCCCACCCCCAAGCTCTACCGAATGTTGAAAAAAACCGGATCTATTATGGAAAGAAGTTTGTCTCCCAATACCGGAAGAGAGGGTATAGTACACATTAATACATTATCTTGAGTGGTGTATTATTTGTTGTTGTTTTGCTGCCTTGCCCTAGCTTGCATTTAGTGTTGAAAAATCGTCAGGAATGTTTGTTCTTTTTAAATTTGTACTTATATACTTTATTTATTTTTAGTGACTTTTCTTTTCTCTATTTAGCACTGCTCTTGTTTTCTTTTTGTATTTGTTGTAACTTGCTGACCCACCCCTGACTTAGATATCTGTGAAAATGAGCGTCATAGCTCATCTGATTCCTCCAGTTCAAATAAAGATTTTAATTACGCAACTGACAGACGAGGAATTTTACTATCAAGGGAGACTTTACAGATTTCCCTGGGATGCAACCTTTGGGAAAACCGGGACAGGTGGCATTCCAAGCCATGCCCACGTTTCCTGCCCCACCGACACATCGACACACCGACGTACTCTCGTACCCCTCATACCCACTGCCTGTTTGTACAGCCACACAAGCTCTGTGCTCGACTGAGTAACTTCAACTCTGGTTAGTAGTGGTTATCGTCCTGTGCCACCTTGTGTCAAAGAATGGCCCCAGAAAATGTGATGTCATTGAAGTGCTGCTGAAGTTTCTTGAATGGGCCTCTTTATCCCAACTAGGGGCACACTTAAAAAAAAAAAATGTTCATTCGCATTGACGAAATATGTCAAAGTAAGTGACGAACCGCATTTAACACGATGGGCTGTTGTGCAGTCATTGAATACCAAGCTGAGAACCATTAACTCGCTATGCTTGAGAACCCGGTTTAAGCATGGGTGGCTAAAGGTATTGAAAGTCATGGATCTTAGCAATGTGGGCTCAGTTCTCTGACATTATGTTATCCCCCTGAGCCACCCAAGCACCACAAAATAGGAACATTTTTAGGCTGACAATACACAATAAACAATTGAATGTGTGTGTTGGCAATGAGCACGTTTAACGACTTGTGGATCGTGCAGGAATGGGGAATCTGAATATCCAGTGAGGGTAGGAGTCATTATTGTGATCATGATGATGTGATTAAGACTTCACCTCCCAGGCAACAGGGCAGTGCTTGAACAGGGTTGTGCACGTTACAAAATATTTCAATTCACATGCAAGAATTTGAATATTTTCCAGATGCATGGAACTTTTCCTTAAATCGAGGGTTGAGTCTGGTTGAGACCTTCATACACATTTTGAATAACTATAATAATGTATTATGAATTAAATAATTGTATGTTATAATTGAAGATTAAGCATTGTTAAAACAGAAGGTTTGGCTTGAGCGTGCATTTACAGAAAGCTCTGTCCCCTGTTTGCGGTTTTTCACGTGTGCATATTTTGCGCGTTTTGAGGTTTGACGGGTTTGACCGGAACGTTCTGCAGAGTGGTACAGTACAGTCCAGAGAAAGAATCGGCAGCCAGCCACCTCTCCCTTCCTCAGCCCCGGCCACCCCCCGCCCGTGGTCCCGTTGAGCCGAGATTGAACCCCAGTCCAGACAGAAGCTCGCGTTCTGTGTGCACTGAACTGCAGCGCTGTCGCCTGCCCAGCAGACCACACCGTGATATCTTCTTTTCTTTGCCTTTTTGTACGATTAAAAAACAAACTTTGATACTTTTCCATCACAGGTTTTGGTCTGGGGCCTGGATTTCTGTAATCCCGTTTGTGTTTAGTTTGGGTTTAGGAAAAAAAAATTGGCCCCTCCCGTAGCCCCTACTTCCCCGCCACTGCCGGCTACCGCCACCCTCCAATAGCACCGTCCCCACCCCTCACGGCCCCCCTTAAACCCTCGTCCTACTCGCTCGTGACTTGTTATCGTATCGCGGTGTCCGCCTGTGCGTCCGTCCGCGGGGGCGCAGACTGCCCGTCCGTCCGCCGCGATATCATCCCAGACGGCGACGGCAGCCTAATCGCTAATTAATGGGAAAGGGCTCGGCCGGCGGGGCCATGGCGGGCGGGGGGGGGGGGAGGTTTGGATAAGGGCGGCAGAGATAAGCCCCGCTCGTTTACTTTAGCGGCTGCATGTTTTCACTGCGGGGCTCAGAAACAAATCTCTAATTAGCAGCGCCACTGAGAAACGTTGCCTCCCCCCAACAAACCCCCCCCCCCCCTCGCCTCCGAAACCTACCGCACCACCCCCAATTCTGTCCTGCGTCCCGGTAGCCAGTGGCCTTGAGCCCTCGCGATCGTCCCGCCACTGTGTTTTCCGAAAAATGAGACGAATCTCCTAAATATTTGTTTAAATCAGTTTGCGAAATCGTGATAACAGGTCTTTAAAGCCTTGCCTAATTGCTTGTGGATTTCTTGTATATAAAATGAGTGCATTAATGATTGAAAACATAGTAAAATGTTGTATTTATTCCCAAGTACCTTACGTACGTTTCCCAGCATACCTACATAGTTCGTAAACATGTAAATACGTGGCATTTATTTAATGCCAGGTGCTGGTGGCATACACTTGTGATCCAGCACTGTTGAGGTAACAAGGGTTGATGGATCGCACAACTTTTGCGAACCGTCCTTCCAGTGAGCGTCGAGGTGCCATGCGGTACAGCAAAGTGTTGACTAATCTCCATTTGTGTCCCTTCTGTATGGGATAGAGTGGTGCACCCTCACATGGTTTAGTTTTCTCCAGTTGCTCCGGTTTGCTCCCACATGTATTAATACTCATGAATTGGCTGAACACATCTTGATACAGGGAAGACTGCAGAGCTTGGAGAATTATTGGCACCAGGTCACCACCTGGCTCCCTTCCAGCTTGTCTGGTTCCTCAGCGATTGTGAAATGCAATTTCCATGAACGCCCCTATAGAAAACAAAACATTATTTTTGTAATAATTTTTTTTTGTTTACCCTTGACAGCATTGCTGATTCAAGCCTTGTTATATAGAGGACCATGCTTGGTATTTTTGTTGAGTTTCTCTTCTGTTTGCATGTAAAACTCATCCAAGCGAGTGAATCAACTTTTCACAGATAGGTCGCAACCTATTTTCTGCACTGCCCTAAAGCTATCCCTGCATATGGGTGTCTTTTATAGACGCCACTTCGCTGCCCCTTTCATGTGGCGCCTCGTACATATTATCCCAGCGCAGTTCACGAGCCAGACTACAGGCGTGTGCCGCCACGCCCAGAAAAAAAGTGCAAAATTTCGTGGAAACGCAGAAAAGGTGAAAATCCGCTCCCGCTGCCCCCTGCAGAGTCCTTGGGGCCATTTGCCACGTCACTCTTTAGCGGAGACATCCGGTCAACTCGTCGGCTTCCCAATGTTAAACAGATCCCACGACGCCGCTTACAAGACGAGGCCATTGTGATACTGTGCCGTGGCCACATTTTTCCCACAAGTCTGCTTGCTGCGTTCGGCCCCATTGCTCTCCACCCCAGGGAGGAAGATACCAACGCCTCTGCATGAAAAGGAAATTACAGCGCAGGATCACATGTTTCGGTCAGTTTTATTTCACAGAATTCCGTCACCGTTTGGCAAATGTAATACACAGAAGCTGATACTGAACTAAAACGAAACTATTTTTTATTTTACCAGGTAAGGCCCACTGAGCTATATTGCTATTTTTCAGAAGAGACCTGGCCACAAATGATAGCTCAACGAAGTAGCTTTACTGCGTAGAAATTTATAGCAGCCAAATGCTCTAAATGCATGTGTTAAAATGTGGAGGGAAAAGTCGGAGGACCTGGAGAAAAATCCACACAACCACGGGGAGAACACGCACACTCCAAATCTACAGGCGTCACGGTTGGGATGGTACCCACGATCTCCTGCATACTAAGCGAGGTAGTTAATATCTCGCCACCATGGCGCTTAATAAAACCCCCTGCCGACCGCGCTGCCCTGTATAATAAACCCCTTTGACTCAACTCGCACGTCCGCTTATCCACTTGCATGCTTGCGTGTTGTCGTGTGCTCTCGTGTCCTGACTGACGGGACACAGGCGCAGGACCTGACGGTGATCGAGGAGGTGATCCGCATGATGCTGGAGGTGGTGAACTCGTGCTTGTGCAGTTCTCTGCAGCACAATCCGAACCTGGTCTATACGCTGCTCTACAAGCGGGAGCTCTTCGAGCAGTACCGCGCGCAGCCCGCCTTCGCCGACGTTATGCAGAACATCGACACCGTGAGCTTGCGCCGTGCGGGCACCGGGCACACACATACATGAGCAGTCTATAAATCCCGTGCGATTCAAGTATTGCGATTTGGTTACGTTTGTAATTTGTAACTGGTATCTAAATCGCACACCTTAAAGTGATTGGTAATTTGAGACACGGTTTGTTGGTAATAGGTATCTACGTTACAGTACTCCAGCAATAATTTGTAATTTGAATGTATTTTGCCCACCTCTAGCTTGGCCATTAGGATGTAAATTGACTTTGGCAATTCGGAGGAAACTGTGTTTTTCTAAAGCCATCCAAATTCATATCATTCTTGACCCCGAATGTGACATCGTTGCTCACCCTGCAACCGAGTGTCTGCAGGATTGATGTAATTATACACATCATCATCATCAAACTCCATCAGCAACAGCAGAACCGTCGTCCAAAGCACCATGAGCATAATCATTTGCGGGAACAGCAGGACTAGCCACATGAACAGCGTCAGAATACTTTAATCAGGAATTGGCCAAAATATCGGATTGAAGGACCCTCCTGAGAAAAGAGTCTTGAGGCTCTATTGCTGCTTTGCTTTTTACATAAAGATAATTGTGCCACGTCTGCTACAAAAATTTGTTGCAATATTCCCACCACCCCTAGGTGATCTCTTTCTTCGGGGCCCGCTTGGAGCAGGCTGGCACAGGGCTGTCTGTGGACCAGGTGGTGGACGTCATCAAGCAAGGAGCCATCCTTCTTCCAAAGGACAGGCTAAAGGTCAGTGTGCCATGTCGACTCACTGGAGTGAGTTTGTAGTTTTTTGTGATTTGCTAACCTTTCCTATACTTTGCACTCCTATTGTATTTTTGTATTGTTTGTTGTTGTAACGTTCTGACCCGCCCCGACTGGGCATATGTGAACTAGAGCTCTATAGCTCATTGGCTTCCTCCGGTATAAATAAATATTCAGATTCTGATCGCAACTTGGTGAGTGAAGAGCGTTGATACCTATGTGGTATGGAAGCTCACCTAATACCAATACACGATAAATGTGTTAAGATTGCCCACGCCCATTGTCATCAAAGTCCTGGTGAGGCAGGAGCCTAGGATGATGACACCAGGGAAATTAAACAGCAAGGAATATCACAATTTGTATTGCATCAGCCAAACACCACTGCTTCAGGGAGCTTATAAACAGCTGGCTTGAATGTCCATTTTTATTTCGTCTTCACTTTTGTTAAGGCTCGGTCTTGTACATATTCAGCTCCCTCGTGGGTCAGGTTGAATGGCATTGTATGCGGTATTACGGCAGTTCATTTAAAAGTATTGTTTTGGGGTGGCTTGGGGGGAGGCGGAACGAAGGGGGTGGGCATACAAATGAAGTGTTGGCAAAGACCACAGGCGCCCCCTTGTCCCTCTAGACGGGATGTTTACAGTTTGCTCCCCGTCCTCCGCTGGCACTCCCCTCCCACCCCGACTCCTGACGCGGAATCTTTCCCCGTTATCGGCCCAAGTGCGCGCCTCTTTAGATTGGCTCGGACGTGTTCCAGAGGCGCCTAGGGCTCAACCCCCGTCTGCCTTCCACGCTTCTCCCAACGGCGTGGTGCCGATGATAGGCATGGCGTATCGCGGGCAGACGGGATTTCTGACGCCAGTGCCGAATCTTGCTCCGGATTAATCGCACAACTGATAAACTGGAACTCTGACGGACTGAACTGCCCTCAATGTTTGTTCATGGCCAGCGCCTTCCCTCATGCGCTCATGTTTTTTTTTTGTTATTTGTACGACTGTTCCTTTTATGTGCCGATACGAGTGTTTTCGTATCCTTTTATTCGGGCGGGATAGTTTTCTACCCAAGTTAAAATTAGGTGCCCTCTAGCATTGAGCCCGTGAAGAGCCCTTACTTCAACTAAGTAAAAGCTCATTGAGCCTCTGACAAAATTGCCCGGAATGCACTCGGTCGCATCAGATCTCAAGCTAAGCAGGTTTGAGCCTGCATAGTCCTTGGTTTGGTGACCACCATGGACAAACAGGTTGCCATAGGCAGCAGGGGGCAGTGTCGCAAAATCCATTGTTAAACTGTATCTTTACATTCCCACGTTTATGCTCCCTGCCTTCACCAACCTGCACTGACCAGTGTGGTTAAGTATAGTCACATGACCCACCCTCTGTGTGGAAGCTTTCATGCAAAAATAGTTTTTTTGTGGAGGGCAGGCAAGCCCAACAACCAGCAATATTCCATTGGTACCTCATTTGCCAGTAAAAAATATGATAATTGGTTTTTTACCCTTTTATCTGGCAACAAAACTGACACCTTTTTTACGAGGAGTCATGTTTGCATAGACCACAATACCTGCAGTCAAAATGCAAACAAAAAACATAACTCTGATAATGTATGCACTGTCCTTGAAGTTGATTGGTCCACACCCGAGACAGCTTTCCTTAGAGCCTAGTCTCACATGGGTTGGACCAGATAATGCATGGGCGCACCTGAAATGATGTTGCCATTCTCAAGTATTGGTACCAGTGCTGGCATTCTTATGTATGGGGGTCTGCACATCGCTATGGCAATAGAGGTGTGGTTTGTAAACATATAGATAGAAGAGCTGTTTTTGGGATGTTCAGAGAATTCCAGCAGAGGAGTCTTGTTTTGTTATTGTGGGAATTTGGGCCCCTGGTTTTAGACAGCTTAGTCGTTCATTCATTATTTCATAAAAATATGAAGGTTCCAACTAAAATGCCCTTTTTACCCTTCGTGAGCAAACAAAACATGTCGACCGTAAATAATAATACTAATGTAAACACGTTACAAAAAAATTGGGTATATACTTTGAGAAGCTGTACTTCAAAGTAATCGTGTTTCATATTCACTATTTGTTTACCGAAGGAATTTTTGTTTTTCGCTTTTGTCGCCGTCCCCCACCGACCTCTCTCCCCCTTCGTCTCCCTTCCGTCGTCTCCCCCCCTCGCCTTCGCTCACCGTTTTCCTGCTCCGACCCCCATCCCTCCCGCTTCACCGTCCGAGCAGAAATTCCCCGAGCTCAAGTTCAAGTACGTGGAGGAGGAGAGCCCCGAGGAGTTCTTCGTCCCCTACGTCTGGTCGCTCATCTACAACACCGCCGTGGGGCTGCACTGGTCTCCACGCCAGATTCAGCTCTTCCCCGTCGATTGCGTTTGACGACAACTGTCGGGACACATGCGGTGGTGGGCGCAAGGTAGTGGGTAGGCCGTGGGTTTGGGAGGAGACCCCATATGTCGTTTGGGGTGCAGTGCCCCCCTGCTCCCCCCCCCCACCCATCTTATCCATGACCACAAGCTTCCAACAAATTTCAAAGCGGCACCGTACCCTTACCAGTCCCGTCCCCCCACCCCCTCCAACATCCGAAGACGCAAACGCTCGAAGTGGCCGGCGCCAGGAACTTTTCTCACGACGCCATCGCTCCGGGGTGGATGGTGGCGGGGGGGGGGGGGAGTCTGGACAGCATGGACCACTCCTGAGAGTCTCCACTGAGAGGGACGCTTAAAACTACCGAGCGAGTTAAACTGCCTCCTCTAATGCGTCCAGTCGTCTGGGCTCCACGCGAGCGTAAACATAAACTGAGCCGCAGTCCCTTTTTTATTATTATTGTCGTATTTTATTTGTTGTACAAACAGCACTTGAAACTGCAGTCAGGGGCAGAGGCTGAGCGCGTACGCTGCCTTCTGCTCGACTGCTGCGTCACGTGAACGGGGGCTGCCTGGTCATGTGGGGTCACCTGCCACCCCAGCGCCGCGGTAAAAAGGGTGCAGGCAGATCTGCCCACAGTGGCACCTGAAAGGAGCTCTTCTAAGATCGGGGTTAAAGTTCGGCGCGGATCTGGGTCTCATGCATATTGGGAAATCTTATACGGCTTCCAATTTTCTTTTCTTTAAACTATGGGGCAAATTGATGGGTGTATTATTTTTTTCGCAATAAGATGTCACCGTCGACCGGTCTGCAAAGTCGTCTAAAATGCTCCCCCCCACACCAATAATAATATCAACAGAACGACGGCAACATAGAGAAAATGGAGAACACTCCTTGTGTTTTCTTTTTTTTACTGTAGATTGTAACGTTCTGCAAAGGGAAATGCTGGTAGTGGGTGGATGCAAAAAAATACAAATTGGCTTCACAAGTAGTTCTGTAATCGCGAAGAACCACACGGTATGGGTGGAATGTCAAATCGGCTGAATGAGTTTATTGAGCCTGTGGTGGTCTTGGGAGAATGTATTTTACTGGCCTTAAAATGAGATCATTGGTCATGGGCACAGCGGTTGTGTAAGGATACCGATGAGATTGTGTGTCCGTTGCAGAGACCTCCATTGAGACGGTGTCTCATCCACCAGGCTTTCTCAGATCACAAACAATATCTGCTCATGCATGCCAATTGGCAGTTCTTAAGCGTGCAAACAAAACATGCAATGCTAGAAGTTACCATATTATGCATAAATATATTAAGTTCATGTATACACCATTTTTGGAATACTTTTTTTAACAGCATTTAAAAAGGATTTGGAAATAAGGTGATGAAAAGAGTGTTTTTACCTACTTACTATATATGATTATATCAAGCCTGGGGTAGGTGGTGATGTCCTGGTTAGCACTCTGCACTATGAGCCTGTAAAGCTGAGTTAGATTCCCGACCACAACTAACATCAGTGGCGAGTGATTACTGATCCTAAGCATCTTTCACTATGCCACACTGACCCAACAAAGTAAAATATGGTCAAACAACCGCCATGACTGACAGAATGGAGAGGCACTAATTCAACAGTGGATTGAAAAGGGGCTGTAAATGATATATATATGTTTTACAGACAGTATTGAACACGTAGTGAGTGATGTGCAAATATGTGCATACAGTGAAACCTCGGTATACGTCGTTATTCGTTCCAGAAGGTAGGACTTATACCGAAAATGACGTATACCAAACGAATTTTTCCCATGAAAAATAAAGGGAAAGGAAAGAATACGTTCCAGAGGAAAAGAAATGATATTTTATATGGCATATTATACATTAATCGGGTTGTATAAAATAATTTAGACACTAATTACTAAAATGCATACAGAAGCCACGTGACCAGCGCTGCTGCCAGCTGCGCTGGTCACGTGGCGTGCCTCAACCCCGCAGGTCGCGTGCCTCGACCCGGGGCTCCACCCTCCATGGGGGCAGCCCCCCACGCCCCCCCCCGCTCCTCTCCCCCACGCCCCCCACCCCTCTCCCCCACGTCCCCTACCCCTCTCGTTTTGTTTCAGTCGTGAACGGGGTATACGAGGGTACTGTACGTGGTGACTCATCCCGACCCATACAAGTTCTAGCAAACGCGACGTATCCCAAGCAAGACGTCGTATCCCAAGACATTTTTTCTCTCGAAAAAACACGACGTATACCAAATTCGACGTATTCCAAAGCGGTTGTATACCGAAGTTCCACTGTACTTTGAATAGCGTTTTTTTCTCATGTTCACTGCCTGTAGTTTATTCCATTTGGATAGATACATCAACATTAAAAACAGCATCCCCCTGGCACAAACAAGTGTTGCTTGTTCATCCTGACCCGGAGGTGGAAATCCCCATTGTTATTGTATACCCCTATCTCTCTCAAGGACAATCACTGGTGACTTGCCACTGATTGCAACAGCCTCAGCAGGTGATCCCCACATTACTCCCCAGAAGGGACATCAATAATGGGGCTTAGCCCTGGTCGGGATTTGAACTCTTAACCTCGTTTACTATATTCCGGTCATCGTTGCAGCGGCTTTTGGCTAACCGTTGAACAAAGACGGTCATTGTATCGCACGCTTTCAAATGCGCTTCTGCGGCCGTCTGGAATGCTCTTTCGATATTAGGAAGCCACTGGAGCTATGCACTTTTAAATTTAGTTTGAAAACTAACTTGTTTAGAACTGCTTGTTGTGTTTAGTTTGTTGTCCTACCCCCGCACCTCTGATTAGCACAGTTGGCTACGTATGGTGCAAACGAAATTCAACATATTTGTTTATTAAGATGTCTCCTGAATATTCCCCTTGAGATGGTACATCTCCTTTCCAAGGGCGGCCAGCTGTGTTATTTGACACGTAGAGAGCAAATGGCGGCCCTGCTGCACTGAGCGATATCCCAAGGCAGGCAGTGGGTTGCTTTTGTATTTGTAATTAATACTACGCGGTGTATGATTACGCATGTGAGATAAGTGCAATTGTGATCATGCATAGGTTGAGTGAAGTCATAATCGATTGTCCCCGTTGCTGCAAAACCTTTTTTTGTGTGAGGGCTAATTGGCTGCTGTGTTATAACTAGGCCTGTAATGATTCTTCACCCTCCAGCAATTTGATGAATTGTCACGATTGGGGGTCCTAGTTCAATTCAAAAATCTATATTTTTTGTCTTTTTTTTACCGTCTTAGTGTTGTTGTTGTTTCTCCGTCTTTGTAAAATTTTAATCACTCCTTTAACTGAAATGTAGAATGAGCGTATCACTCATAAATTGTAAATAGTCCATTCTCTTGTGCACGTTGCATGTATTGTGAGCATATGAATCGCTGTTAATCAATGAGGTGGTGCATCCGTTAGATGGATACTCATTACCATTTTCTCTTGGACTTATGAAAAGCTTATATTTTGTTTCTTTAATTTATTTCCACTTAATATAGATGTCTATGCATATTATACCGTGTCAGACTGCATTAAGTTGAACAGTACGTGATCATTGCAAGTCATTTAGTTTTCAATGCGGCAAAATACATTGCACTGTATATATCTATGCTCCCACGTGTATGCTTTCCCACCTTTGGCAACCTGCACTGATCAATATGGTGGATGTATGGTCAAATATCCCCCACGACCTGCACGGTGTGGGGAGGCCCCGAATCCAGTAGTGCATTGACAAAGGGCTGTACATGTATGTGTAGTAACTTGTTACACCCTGTACATAGAGTGTATATATCTCTGTATAATCACATGCCGTTGTACCTATTTTCACATTTTGAGAAAACAGGGCAACGTACATGCCAGGTTGAAGATCAGCAACGTTAAAGAGGTTTTTTTAAATATATATAATTGCAATGATTCCTAACTCATTTGCCATTTAAAATCATGGAGATAAATGTTCACTCTGTCCTAATTGTAAAGTTCAAAATTACATTCAGAAGTTGCTGATGGTCAGAAACATATTACAGCTTTAGTAACGTTATCTCGGGCATGTTGTGTATGTAGGTGAAGGACATGGCATTTGGTTAAAGTACTATGGTGGTGGTTAAATTGGAATGGGTAAAATGTCTCGTTTCACTTTGTTACCATTATTTTGGACAATCGTTTAAGCATATTGATGGTAAAGATGGCTGTAGATTTACAAAAAAAGTTGATAAAACCTAGATCAGTTAGTTTATGGTCAGAAGACGTCTGGCTCTGTGGTTCGCATCATGATCTTACACTTAGCAGTTCATGGTTTGTAAATATACAAATTAGAAATTCACATTCACGTATGTTAATTGGTGATCATTAAAAAATGGTTCCTGAGCAAGTTATGGGTTCTTGAGGACTGAAGGTCACAACCAAGGCTCAGGTTTGTTATCGGTGGTGAGCTCAGGTTGGAAAGGATTGGTGCGCACGCATGTGTGTTGTGTAGGTTTATATGGTTTTCTTGTTTTATTTACTTGTTACACTTCTATTGTCATTAATGCAACGTGAAAAATGACTGAAAACGGAAACTCAAACTTTAACACACAGCTGTGGCTGCGATAGACTGTGGGTGGTGAATGCAGCGTGTGGCATCGCATCGACTTGCAGGAGCGGCTCTGTAGGTAAACCGAGCTTCCTGTGCTGTGTTTGATTTACCCCCCCCCCCCATCACAGAGTGTGTGGTCAGAGCCACTGGAGAAAGACCGGGGTGGGGTGGGGCCCCCTTATAAATATTTTTTTGACCTAGCCCTGGTTTTTGCTCTGCGTGCCTGGACTTGGCTGACGTAGTCCAGATGATTATGGCACTGATCTCGTCTGATGTTACCTCTTATTTTTCCTGAACGGCGGTGGATGAGACGGACGGCACTGCGGGGACACGTGCCCGTCCACCGGTCTCACGATTGAATCGGAGATCCATTCGATTCCAGTGATGATGACCACGTAAACTCTTGATTGATTAATGTAATTTAATAAACGACATGAAGTTTCCATTTTAGTTCTTGATTACTTTTCAAAGGCACACTCGTTTACCATATTTACCTGGGGGGTATTTGTTGTTTACAATCTTCACTTGCGGATAGTTTAAAATATATTTACGACATGCAGAATCAGAATATGTATTTATACTGGAGGAATCTGATGAGCTATAAAGCCTTTTTTCACAGATGTCCACGCTTGTGGCAGTGCTGTCATGGGTTCTTAATGCTCTACAGCAGATAGCATGACATTGGCAAATGACGGGAATCGGACTCTTGAGAGTGTGCAACACAATCACACAGTGGGAATTAGTGTGTAGGAGGCACACTAATGGACGTACAGCTTGGTTGGTGTTTGCGTGCCGCTTGTTGAGCACTTCGCTTTGTAGATCAGCGTGCAGGCTTCCTCCAATGTCCACGCGAATGACCTGGGGTAAATGGACCGTCCTGTAGTGTGGTAAATCGTGGGTACGTCCAACTCTGTTTAACACGTCGGCTTTTGTGCCCAATATCCTAATTAGATCACGTAAATATTAAATCGAGTAAATATAAATGTGTCATTAAACCCGCCACCACCCAACAGCCAATTAGTAAGGTTTGTCACGTAAACTAAACGTGCCAATTTGTTACTAGTTCAGTAACGAATTGTGGATTTACTCTCCAACGCACCGGTGTGCTAAACCCGTAACGAATTTGCTTGTTTTGTTTACGTCCAACTGTGACACCCTGCCTGCGCAGGCATATTGTAGTACCGTGGTGTGTTGCCTGAATGTAACTCGTCAAAATGAAAGAGGGAGGCTCTCCAGTAGTAATGATATGGGCACTCCACATACGTACAGCAACAAAGTCTTATCTGGCCAGGCTAAATGTTCGGGAACACACATTAATGCTGGTACGGCATACAAGGAGGTTAGTAGTGGTGTTAGCACCGCCAATAGTAAGTAAGCAAGCCACCTTTGATTGCACAGCGTTGGTTATCCACACCTCGCCAGGTACTCGTTTCAGTCTGAATTCGGGGGAAGAAGGAGAGTTTTTACATAGCTGTTGTCACTGATGTGAATCGTGGCCCCCTGGTTGTTAATATGGGTTGCTGGAATTGTCGTGCAGTGTGATAACCACCGTGCCACCAAAATCCCGGCGCACCTACACGCGTAAACAAAAACGCATAAGTGGTGACGGTCAACATTTTTTGGGGAACACAATACTGTGTTCACCAAGCTGGTACAAACGTAATGTCATGTCAACTATAAAGTACATGCTAGACGGGCAGTCCTTGTTTAAGCAGTTGAGATCCCACTTGAGACGGGGCGTCTTAAAAGGGAGGCAAGGGTAATTCCAGTTGCACGGAACACGGCAAATGCATTTGTGTTAAGATTCATGGACCACCTTTGTCTAAGTGGGCTATTACACGGCTTAAATAGTTTATGAAAACAACCATTTGCCATCTATTGCGCATTTACGTTCATTACGTGGTTTGCGACTGAGAGGGTATGTGTAATCATTTTAATCATTTTACAGTGCATAGATGACCAAACTCCATTTATCGTCGGCCACCATGCTACACGCATTTCGACGCAACTTTCATTATATGCAAGTTAATCTCTTATACATTTAACTCACCTGACGCTCTGTAAAATGTTAAAACTAGACTGGTGCGATGTGAAGAATAGAGTTTGGCAAACCTTGGTATCGAATCAATCGTGGTTACTTTTAAGTTTAAGGTTGGTTCCTAAGAAGATGTACACACCCCTTGTGTTTTTTTGCTGAATGTGCGAAATAAGTAACAACTTTACCTGCACGTGTCAGTAAGCAGCTATTGCAAATTAGCCCCATGCTTTTACTGGTCTTGATATGTGAAGCTGTTGGCAATGGCCATAACAATTGTGAAATATATTCCTGCAGTAAGATTTTTGTTTGAGTGAATGTGTTGAAGAGTGTTTTGTTTATTATACTTAAATAATTTTAGCAGTTTAATACCATCATTTTAAGCTGTTCTAATCACCTCTTTTGGGCAGGGCCGGTAGAAAAGTGGTTAGTCCACTGCACTATGAACTTAGCTACCCGAGCTGGATTCCCAGCTACTACGCATCATATCAGCGGAAATGTTTTATCTGAACTCGCCCTATGCCCCAAGCACTTCACCATGCATTGCACCAATGTGGTGAACTATGATCAAACAATCCCTGTGACCAACATGGCACGGGTGGGCCTTTATCTGGCAATAGATTGACATCGGGCTGTAATCCAGAAGCTTAGAAGGGGGTTCACACTTCATCGAAGGGGCAGCTCTTTATCACTGCTAAAAGCACGTCTGTGGCAGTCGATTATACGGTCTGGATTTAAACATTTTAAAATATTGAACATTTTCAAATTTCCTGGCTGAATCCAGCTGCGGTGCTCATGCATGCCACAATGAGGCATCTGGGGTGTTGTGGGGTTTCCCCCGTGATGCTTTGTGGGCTAAAATGTCATAACAATTTTAGCGAGTTTTATTTGATAGATTTAAGTGGGTTGTGGAGGACAGCATATGTCTGTGCTACCCCTTTTTTTGTCATTGTGCAAAGCAAAGTGTATAATTACGTGGGGACACCGTATATACTGTGTCCTCGAAATGCCGGGCTAATTCAGGAGTGAGGTGCTCTGGTGTTATTTTCACGAAGACCAAACCAAATTTAGCCCCAGTTACAGCTTGTAATGTAATTTGTATTGCTTTTTTATACGATAGAAATATGTATAGAATTTACAGTTATATATATTATAAAAGCAATACACGTAGGCTTTCGCGACCAATATTATTCATAATCAACGTTTTTGGGTTTAGATCGCGTTATTTATAAATGTGTCGTAACCCTCCACCACCCGACACGGCCAATCAGTAAAAAAAGTGTCACGTTGACAAAAGACAAATAGGGCTAACGCAGCAATACAGTATGAGAGAAATTACAGACAATTAAAATCACTGAAAATAACGAGTCCAATTCTGGGACGCAATCCACTGCCAGAATAGTCCACAATACCAGAGTGGAAGATGCAGCTCCAGCTAACAGCAAGTCACCGTTCGCTGTTCAATTCCTGAGCTTCGGGATTGCAATTTTCAACGACAAAAGCTACCATTTTTAGGGGTCTCCCCTAGAAACACTTGTTACATGCGGGACACGGGATATCCGCACACATTATTTTGAGGACGCATTGTACTCATACGCACATTACACATACATAGTTACAGAGCAACAGAATGTCCAGTGTAGGATAAAAAAACGTGAATAATCGGACGTATGGACGCTGAAACCTGGGCACGTTCTCTCTGCTAAATGTACACACGGCATGAACATTGAATTCGTAATGTGACAAAAAGCTACGATGTTTCGTGTTCACACCTGATCGCGTGTTTGCTGAGTGTCGGGCCCGTGAGAGAGTATTGTTTTGTTTGTGGCAACAGCTTGAAAGTTCCGATTGCAGTGGGAGATGAGAGTGATGTCACGTCACATCGAGAACACAGAGAACGCACAGTCCCCTGACGTGGGGCGGCAGGAGGTGACGTGGACAGACCGCGAGGGAAAGGGTTGAGAGAAAGTGACGGGTGTCGGAGGAGAGGAAGATAAGAGAGAGGAGGGAGACGGGCAGAGAAAGGGGCAGAGATGAGAGGCTGGGTGAGAGGATAAAAGAAAATTGAATTGAGAGCCGGATTGAATGTAAAGGGACACGGAGAGGGTGACTGGCAGAGACGTCGAGAGAATACCAATACGAAACAAAGACAGGAGAGAAGAAGAAGCAGATCACGTGAGACAGACTGTGACACATGATGGAGAGGGGGAGAAATACATTAAAAAGCAGTTTAGAGATTTGAGAAGCTGCAATTGACTTGTGGGCAGAGTGACTTTGATATTACTTGGGTTGGCACGTGCCTACGGGCAAGTCGGTCTTGTTACAAACTGCAGCAACATATGTTCGTGTTTCTGCAGTTGCGTTATTTCGCTGCCACAAACAACATTTGCGTTGCCGGTAAACTAGGTCGTGCTTATAGCATGCACAGTTTAGCAAACGTTCAGTTAAACACTCGATTTCCTGTGCATATATATATACACAGCATAGGGTTGGAGTGGTGGGACAGAGGTTGGTGCAGTGCACCCTGAACCCGGCGACCTGAGTTCGATTCACGGCCACGGCTAACCTCAGTGGCGAGTGAAATGTGCCACCTTACCACTTCACTAACCTGCAACTGACCAGCGTGGTGAAGTATAGCTAAACAACTCCCGTGGCCGACACAGCATGGTGAAACCTTCATCCAGCAGTGGATTGAAAGAGGGCTAGACCTATCGTTTTTTTAAGTTAGTGGTTAGCTCTTTGCTCTAGTTTCCCAGCAGCCTAGGTTTGATTCCTGGCCATGGTTCACATCATTGTCAAATTGTATCAGGACTTGAGCTGGGCTTTTTTTCTGCTTAAAACTTTCGTGACTGCAGGAATTCATATTCTTGGTTCTTTCGGTAAAGTCACGTAGGCGAAGACGGACTGGAATTAGAACTGCACTCGGAACTTTGTGGTGAACAAAAACAGACGTCATACCCGAGTGGTGTTTACCTCCAATGCTCCAGCGTCTGCTTTACTGGTCTTAACATTTACATTATAGTCAATCCACTGCTGGATGAGGGCCTCTCCGCGCCTGTGTGGGTTCGTGTGGGAGGGGGGGCGTTATGTAGCCATGTCACCACACTGGTCAGTGCAGGTGAGTGAATGCGGAGAGCATAGGCATTGGTGCATAGTTCAGTACAACAATGGACTGCATTGTACCGCCCTCTGCTAATAACGTGGCCCCGCAGCAACCTACGACACCCGTTTTACTCAGTGGTCACCCATCCAAGCACTGCCCAGGCTCAACGCCTGCTTAGCATCTGACATCAGTTAAGATCGGTGCGAATTGGTCATAAGCTGGTGTTAACAAGCGTGAATGCCAACAGTACTTGCCCCCCCCCCCCCCCCCCCCCCCAAGATCGACACATCTATCCAGACTAAATGGCGTGCGGCTTTGGGCAAGGGAGGTTTGTTTTTTCTAATTCGATTGAAATGTGTGCGCCGTGTGCCAATATGCCAGGCTCCTGGTGGAGTTAAGTGCTGAGCCAAAGCCGTCCCGGGCTAGAGGAAGAGGGTTAAAACAAACATCCCGGCGCCCTGACCACTCCGCTCACTTTCCAGTACGTCTGCATCTCTTCCCGCGGAGCCAGAGGCGCCCCAGAGTAGCCCCCCCCCCTACCCTGCACCCCCACTGCCCTTCATCAACCCTGGCCACCGCCTTCCCCAGCCCTGCCTGGTCTCCGCCACCCATTCATAACGTTCCTGTCGCGTCCACGCAGTGAGGAAAGCGACGAGCTACCTAGCTACCCACCAACTCTCGACCGACAAACCTCGTCGTCCCACATCCATCATCACCATCACCCCCCCCCCCCCTCCATGCTTGTAATCCCTCCGTAGTCCACCCCTGAATCCATACATCCAAACCCCTCACCATCCCAACCACTCCTCGCCATTTTCATCCCCACTTCTCCTTATCCCAAGTCTTCATTTATCATCCTAACACCTCATCATTCCCTTTTCATCATCACTCCTCATCATTCCAAGCAGCAATTATACCCCCCCCCCCCCCCACCCATTACCTTCATCATCTCTTTAATCCCCAGACCTAACCAGCTCCATTTGTCATCTCCCCAATCCATAATCACCCACCACCCCTCGTCATTGCATCCATCCCCAACTCCTCTTCATCCCAACGCGAAACCTCGTTTGCTCCATTCATGCCGAACTTTCGCCGTCCCCTCGCAACTCACCCACCCCACCCTACCCCACCCTCGTCTCTTCCCTCCACCACACCGCCATGCCCCCCACCCCCCACTCATCCTTCTCCATCTCCTCCCTCTGTGGGTAAAATGAATCTCGGCTCCACAGGGAGAAAGCGCGCAGGCGTCACGGAAGCCACCGGCTCGGGGTGGATGCGTGGCTCTGTCGCGCCTGCTTGCACCGTGTATTATTATTCTGTGTCCTCCTGTGCACATATTTTTTGTTGGCAGATTATGAGTGTCCCCATTGGCTGGAGAAGGATGTTAGATTATGGTAATATAAATAATAATAATTCCGCTGTAGAAAGTTACAATCTCTATTGGGCTCGATAAACGTTGTATCACTGTGGGAAGTCACATCGTGTTCGTCATACAGTGTGGCTGCCCCTCCTCTCCCCTCCCCCGCCATAGGAATGTGGAATGTTGGCTACTTGGTAAACAGCAAGCGAAGATCAGAACCTCCCAGTGTTCGTTTGACTGAATTGTTTATTTACAGAGGAATGCCACCTACATTTTAGTATAAACTCCAACCTTCCTTCCACACTAACACACCCCAACGTACCTTAACGTTAACACGCAACCGCACCATACACACCTCGGTCGGTCTCATTACATATTTATTGATGTCTCGGGTAAATTTCAATTATCATTAAAATACTTCTTACATCTGGGTGAATTAGTTTGCGTATTTTGCCACAGCAAGGCGCTAAAGAACTAACATACGAATCCACAACATGAGTCCAAAGCCTTATTTATCTGGAAGCTGAGTAATTTTACAAAAATATGAAAATCACAATACCAATTTCTAAATAAAATCAATATCTGCTAACTTGTTTATGCAATCTTATTACAAAGATAAAAGTAATTAAAAAGATAAACCTAAACGAAGCGACAAGACGATGTCTCGTGACTCGCAGGCAGATTCCGGGTCCCACGATGGCCAGATGTTGACTACCTCGCCAGGTATACAGGAGGTCGTGGATAATACATTACGGATGATATTGGTCGCGAAAGCCTACGTGTTAAAAGGAGGTCGTGGGTTATATCCCAACCCTGACGCCTGCTGTATATTTGGAGTTTGTAATCCCCGTTGTCATCTGGTTTTT